TGTCCTCCAGAGTCATCGTGTGCCTGAGGCCAAGTGCGTGGTCTGTCTTTTCTCTGCTACACATGGTGGCATCCATTAAAACTGCTCTGTGCCTCCTAGGAATGTCTCTGGTTCCCTTTTTTTCCCCTATGAAATGCGCAAGTCCTGAATGTACAGCTTGCATTTTGGTAAATGAATCCAGCCCTGTAACCCACATCCCTATCAAGCTGCAGAACATTTCCACCGCCCCAGAGGTCGCCTCGTGTCCCTTGCCCCACCAGGAGGCAGCCGCTGGCCCAGTTGCATCCCCATAGGCGACTCACTTGTTGGGGTCAGTGTGGACTTGCGTCTGGCTCCTTCCACTCAGCGTTGTGTTTTTGGATTCATCCATGTTGCTGTCGTGTTTCGGTAATTTGTCACTTTTTATGACTCGGGTTAAAATAAGGGCATTCCTTCTACTATTTGTCATTCTGTGTTTAGAAACAACTGTCCATCAACGGGCCGCTGATCCAGTTGTGGTACGTACATTTGTCTGTGTGTGAATGCACATCTACGATGCATTTCTAGTAGTTGAGCGGCTGGGTCCAAACTGCAGAATTGCCACATCCTCTAAAAATCTGGTGGGTATTTCTATAGTGATTGCATTAAATTTATGGACTTCTGGGGAAAACTGATCTTAATGACAAACCTTTCTAAGAACAGGGGCAGTCCTTCTGGTTATTCAGATATTTTATGTCCCACATATCACTTTAAAGTTTTCATACACATATTACTTTTTTTTTTTTTTTTGCTGAGGAAGATTCTCCCTGAGCTAACATCTATGCCCATCTTCCTCTATTTTGTATGTGGGACGCCACCACAGCGTGGCCGCCAATGAGTACTGTAGTTTCACTCCTGGGATGTGAACCTGCAAACCCAGGACGTTGAAGCAGAGTGCAAACTTAACCACTAGGCCACAGGGCTGACCCGTAGATATTGCAAATTTCTTAATTTGATTCCTAGATATTTAATCCTTTCATTACTAATGTAAATGGGATATTACTTTCCAAACAGTGGTCCTTTGCCTACAGAAAGATTATTGACTTGTACTGCTTATTGATTTTGCATGTAGATGATGTATTTCTAACCTAGCCGACTTACTGAATTCCCTTATTTTTGCAATACTGTTCCAGTTGAGGTCTTCATTTCAGTACAATTCTGTTCCCTTTGTCGTACAATACGCTACTAAGAGCAATTTGAGGGTTCACTTTGGTGTAAAAAGTGGAAACTGTTTTCTGCTGTTGGTCTCAGCTGCGCGGTGGGCTGTCCCTCCAGGGTGAAGTTCCAGGGGTGGCCCGAGTGAGTGAGTGCCTGTCGGCTCCACGTGCCAAACACCCAACTCCGGGCATGCCCAGAGTGGGGAGCTGCTGCACCTGGACGAGGCGGAGGCTGGCACAACTTCCGGCAGCTTCTGCCTCCCTGGCTGGCGGGGAACATTCTTCCTTCCATCAGGGTGAAGCTCAGCCTTTTCCTGGGAAGAAAAGCTGGTGGAATTGTAGTGTTGACAAGAATAGCGATTGTAGTGGATTGACACACATTTAGTCAAGGAAAATCCGCTGACACTCAGAGCCTCATGACTGTTAGAGGACTATTAAGCGCTACACTGAAATCATTAAGGGGGTGAATCAAGCCTTTCTCCTCTTTCCAGCAGGGACTGTATTTCATGAGAAGCCAATCATGCCTGCTGATGAGAAGAAAGCCGTTTCCAGTAGAATAGTTTATAAATGTAGGCGAATGAGTAGATGGAGAGAATTTTGCAACTCCTAATGGTCTAATTCATTCAGCCAAGAATCATGGCTGGGTTTGGTTTGGTTTGACTTTTAAGCCATTTTATCTATTTTTAAGTGTACAATTCAGTGGCATTCGGTACGTTTATTGTTGTACAACCAACACCACTATCTATTTCCAGAACATTTTCATCATCCCAGACAGAACCTCTACCCATTAAACAAGAACTCATTCCCCCTGTCCCCCAGCCTCTGGTGACCTCTCATCCACTTTTTGCCCTTTCTAGGCGCCTCATATGAGTGGAATCATAGAATACTTGTCCTTTTGTTTCTGGCTTATTTCACTCAGCATAATATCCTCCAGGTTCCTCCATGTTGTGGCATGTGTCAGAATTTCCTTCCTTTTTAAAGGCTGAATAATATTCTATCGTACAACTATACGGCATTTGGTTTACCCATTCATCCATCAGTGGACATTTGGGTTGTTTCCACCTTCCGGCCATTGTGACTCATGCTGGAACGAACACCAATGTACAAGAATCTCTTTGAGTCCCTGCTTTCAACTCTCGTGAGCATCTGCTTTCGGAGTGAGTGGAATTGCTGGATCACGTGGTCATTCTTGGTTCAACCTTGTGAGGAACTGTCACACTTTTCCCCAGCGGCTGCGCCGTTTGACATTCACACCAGCAATGCACAAGGATTCCAGTTTCTCCACGTCCGTGCCAACACTTGGTATTTTCTGTTTAATAATATCATCCGAATGGGTATGAAGTGGTCTCTCATGGTAGTTTTGATTGGCTTCAGGTTTGCGTGTGTTAGTACATCCTTTTAATTTTTTAGTTTTAAAAATTGCGGTAAGATATACATAACATCAAATTTACTGTCTTAACCCTTAAAAGCACAGTTCAAGGGCATTAAGTATGTTCTCGTTGCGCAACCGCACATCTGTCTCCAGAACTCTTTTCATCTTGCAGAACTGAAACTCTGTCCCTGTTGAACACCAGCTCCCCGCCGCCGACCCCCTCCTTCTACTTCCTGTCTGAATGTGACTCCTCTCTCTGTCCTTGTGTGACTGGCTTCTTTCACTCACCGGAATGTCCTCCACATTCACCCGTGTCGTAGCACGCATCGGAAGTTCTTTGTTTTTTAAGACTGAATGCCATTCCATGGTGTGGATGGACCGCATTTTATCCATCCCTCCATCCACCCACGGGCACTTGGGTTGCGACCACCCCCTGCCTGTTGTGAGTCATGCTGCTCTGAACACGGGGGTACAAATATCTGTTGCGTCCGTGATTTAGTTCCTTTGGGTGTATCCCCAGAAATGGAATCGCTGGCTCGAGTGGTGACTATTTGGTTTTGGGAGGCCCCCCCATACTGTCCCCTGGCAGCAGGTTGCTTAATGAGAGAAACATTCACAACGCAGCTGAAACCCCCTCCCAGCGCCCTCAGATCCCCGCCTGCCGCTTCCCAGACACAAGCACTCCGAGAACATTGCTATGTTTCCTTCCTGTCCTTGCCCGTCAACTGTTGCCACAGCTGCGTGCCCATAAACTTAGTGTTCTCAGCGTCTTTAAAAATATTAGATCCATGCAGAATAGCATTCACCTATCTACGACCCGCTTTTCTCTCTCTGCCGTGTCGGCAGTTCTTAAAGAAAAGCCCAGCCACAGAGACGGCACAGTGAATCCCACAACCAGCAAAATAACAGCCAGCCCTTGTTTCCACCTCTTGTGTCATGAAGAAGCCTCTGACAGCCTGTCATGCCCACAGTGACCATTATCACGCACATGTGTACTGTGCCTGTCGGCTTTGTCCCCACTCGCCCGCAGCCATCCACAGCTAGCAATCGAAAACTCATGTAGATGGCGTCATACAACCGCGGGTGGAACATATTTAACCTGCCCGGATGGATGGGCAGATAGGGTTTCCAGTTTTTGCTATCGTGAACTGCACAGATATCTAATTCTCACATCTTTGCATACATTTACAAGTTTTTCTCACAGCCTGAATTATTAGCTGGCTCAAAGGAAAATACGTATGTGCATTTTAAGTCTTAGGAGATGCTGTCAATTCTCCACCCAGAGAGTTTGCATAGTTTCACGCACTAACAAAATATGTGTCTGTTTCTCTACATCTTTGTTGCCGTTGGGCAATATCCAATTTTTAAAGTTTTGCGCATCTGCTAGGTTGTTTGAATTTTGCGTTTCTTGGAGTAAATTTGCTTTAAAGTTTATTGGCCCTTTGTACAAACTATTTTTATCTTTATTGCCAGACCACCCTCTTTCACTCATTTCCACAGCCTGCTTCCTGGTGTCCTGCTAATCTATTCCTTTCCACTCAAATCTCTACAGGCTTCTAGAATAATCTTTTTCACAAGAAAATCTGATCATGCTGGGGCACCACTCAAAACACGTCGGTGACCTCACCCACACCCCACAGCCTACAGGATAAAGAGCCTAAGCTCTTAAGTCTGGTTTAAAAAGGCTCATGATCTGGTTGCCACCCCACCCCAAATGCCCATTAATTGAGCACCTTACAACAGACAGACACCCCGTGGGTGTTGGGGACCCAGGGGTCAACAAACAGGCGAACATCTGCTTTCTGCAGCTGACATTCGAGGGCAGTGTTTCTAGACTTATTCTTTTCATTATTACCCCCTTAAGGAGAAAAGTGGAATTATCTTTAAATTTAATTTAAATCAATTAGTTAAATTAATTTCAACTTAATTACACTTAACGAGAGAAATTAAATACCTAGGAATAAGATTTGTCTAGTAGGGTTGGCTTCGGAGAGCCACAAGCTATTGTAAGATCTAAGGTTTTTGCCCCCCATCCCCGAATTAATTTTGGCTCCCTGGGAGCCATATGGCTTGCATCGACAAGGAGTGTTCTAGAGGGAGAGCTGGACAGCAAACAAGGAAATGGAAAAGATAAAATCAGAGAGCCAAAAATGTTACTAAGAAAAGGAGGGAGAACGGTTGAGGGGGCACCTGACATCTTGATCATCCGATTAGGAACGCTCTTCCCAGACAAGGAAGACTAGCCTTGGCTTCTTCAGCGGCAAAGTGGAAAAGAAAATTTCCTCCTCACAGTGCCTGGCATACGGCAAGCGCTCAATAAGTGAGCTTCATCGTAATTATTAGTTAAAAAAAATATTTTTAAAGGTATACGGAATAAGCCCTGGGATGCGCCTCTGCTCCGCGTCCTACGTGGGTACCACCGCCCAGCCGCGCTCACGGCTGGCGCCTCCACCTCCGTCTGCAGGGGGCGCTGCGGGCGCCGCGGCCGGGCTGCTCTAGGCGGCGGCACCGGAAGTCTCGTTCTCCCTTCAGTTCCGGTCTCTGGCCCAGGCTTGGGCTGCGTGGAGGAGCGTTTGCGATGCCGACCGGAGACTTTGAGTGAGTCGGGGGTCGCGGAGGGGGCCCGGGGGGGCGGTTTGGGGGCTCTGGGGGTTCTGGCGGAGCCTGGGCGCCCCGAGGCCGAGGGAGCCGGGCCTCGCTGACCCCGCCCTCCCCGCCGCGCTTGTCCCCGCAGTTCGAAGCCCAGCTGGGCCGACCAGGTGGAGGAGGAGGGAGAGGACGGTGAGTTCGCCGGTGGCCCCGGGGCCTCTCAGCCAGCGCCCCGCCCGGTCACTGCCGCCTGCTCCCGGCACCGCCATCCGACCCCGCATGTCCCCCCACGGCCGGCCTTTGCCCCGCGCCGTCCTCCTCCGGGCCAGCCTGTCGCCCGTTCCAGATGCTCCCTGGCCAGTCCCTCTTCCTCCCGGGCCACCGCCCGAGTCCTCACAGCTGCTCCCCTGCTCCGGGGACGCAGTTGTCACAGCCTGCCTTCGTGCCAGGGACCCCCCCCCCCCCATCCTTGCCATTGCTGGAGGTTACTACAGCCAGCTCCGTGTTCCCCCCGGCTGTCCCCGGGCACTTCCCGGCCAGCCCTCTGCCCTTGCTCCCGCCTTCCTCAGCTCCTAGTGTGAGCATCCTCCCCGGAGTCCGCCCATTTCAGCTTGGCAGCTCCGCCCCTCCAGCTGACCCCTCCTCCCCCCACTCCTTCTCGCAGACAAATGTGTCACCAGCGAGCTTCTCAAGGGGATCCCTCTGGCTACTGGGGACACCAGCCCGGAACCTGAGCTCCTGCCAGGAGGTGAGTGACCGGCGGGCAACCTCCATCCCATCCTGGGCTGCTTCTCCCCTCAGCTGCATTCCTGCCTGGTCCCCATCACTAAGGCTCAGTTCCCCTCCCCTCTTACCCCCTCCTAGCTCCACTGCCGCCTCCCAAGGAAGTCATCAACGGGAACATCAAGACAGTGACCGAGTATAAGATAGATGAGGACGGCAAGAAGTTCAAGGTGAGGCTGGGGGAGGAGGCGGGTGCCCTTGTGCTTTGGGGCACTCGGGCCAGGAGTGGGAGATGTGTGTTGGGTGGGTTGGTGGGGAAGATCCCCTGGCCCCAGGAGCCTTGAAGCTGGACCCTCTCCCCTCCCTTCCACAGATCGTCCGCACCTTCCGAATTGAGACCCGGAAGGCCTCGAAGGCTGTTGCAAGGAGGAAGGTGAGACCCTGCTCCCCTTGTCCTGGGGCTCCCCCAGGACTGACTCAGGACTCCTTTTTGCTCATGCCTTTATTTTTAGAAGTGGGGTTCGTACCTATCTTGCTGGAGCATAACTGGGGCCTAGGGGTGTTTGTACTCTCTGGGGGCCCTGAACAGTCCAGGGGTACAGGAGTGGACAGGGTTCATTCTCAGTCCTCTTGGCTTATCTGCCAGGAGGAATAGAGCCAAGTCCTCCCCTAAGATGGTCACAGCAGAGGCGACAGCAGTAAATACCTTTGGCCCCGTTATTTGCCTACTTTCTCTGTGCCCGACCCAAATGCTTTGATTTGCTGCGTTCTCATTCAGTCCTCATAGCAGGCCCGGGAGGCGGGGAGCGTTGTCCCCTTTTTGTCGGGGAGGAAGCTGATGCTCAGGTTGTTTAGCTCAAGGCCCCTCGAAGTGTGGGGGAGCCCTGTCCACCCTGAGCATCGCTCCCTAGTGGGAGCTGGTCCACCGCCTGCACGGCACCCCCAGGAGTTGTTGTCTGTGGAACCGTTTCCCCTGAGCCTCGGTCCTCTCATCTGGGACTTGGGGCTGAGGGCTGCCCCACACGGCCCCGCCAGGGCCTCGCACACACTCAGGAAACAGGAATTCTCGTCGTCACCACTAAGTGAGGCATTTGGGGAGGGTGGAGGAGGCAGTTGAAGGCCCAGGCATCCTGAAAGGGGCTATAGTAGGTCTGGGCTGCCAGTGGGGGGTCCCACCTGCCCTGACTTGTCCATTATCCCGCCCTGAGCCCAGAACTGGAAGAAGTTCGGGAACTCAGAGTTTGACCCACCGGGGCCCAATGTGGCCACCACCACAGTCAGCGATGATGTGTCCATGACATTTATCACCAGCAAAGAGGTAGGTGGGGCAACAAGGCGGGGCTGGCGGCCAGGGTGGCAGCAGGGGTGTGGCAGCCCCCCTGAGCTGCCCCCGCCTGCCCCACCAGGACCTGAACTGCCAGGAGGAGGAGGACCCGATGAACAAGCTCAAGGGCCAGAAGATTGTGTCCTGCCGCATCTGCAAGGGCGACCACTGGACCACCCGCTGCCCCTACAAGGACACGCTGGGGCCCATGCAGAAGGAGCTGGCCGAGCAGCTGGGCCTGTCCACGGGCGAGAAGGAGAAGCTGCCCGGAGGTGCCCGGGCCGGGAATGCAGTTGGCATGCTCTGTGTGTGTGTGTGTGTGTGTGTGTGTGTAGGGAGGAGCAGGAACTGTGCACCCTTGGGATAGTCCTTCATTGTCACTTGCTGTCTGTGAACGGGGTGGTCAGCATCACACCTGTCATCTCCCACGCAGCAGCGTCAGCACCTCGAGTCAGGGCTGTGGCCACGGTCGTGCTGTGTGAGAGAGAGATGGGCTGGGTGGTTGCTGTGGCTGCTGGTGACATAGCCTGTCTCCTCGGGTCTGCGAGAACCGCTGGCTCGGGTGCACGCCCGTGTGTGTAACCACACTGCCCATGGTTGGGGGTGGCCACCCTGTGTGTGTGCGACTTGTGGGCTGGGACTCTCCTCCTGACTCTGTGACTGTCCTGAGTGTGCTGTGTCTGTCTGCCATGGATGCAGCTGCTGCACTGTGTGTGTGCGCGTGTGCGTGCACATCTCTGAGCAGACTCACACGTATGACTGCAGTCCGTGTCCTTTAGTGGGATTTGCTGATGGCGAGTTTGCGTCTGGACAGCTCTCCACCATGGCTTGTGCGTGGGGGACTGGGGACCGTCCCTGTCCCCGCATCTGTTCCTGTGTGTTGTGAGGCTGGGCGTTACTCCAGCTCTCAGCCCTGTGGGTGCCTCAGACTGCGTCTACCCCATAGGTGCTCACTCAGCCTTCACTGCTGGCTTCCTGGATGTGACAATTATGTCATCGTGGCCACCGGCTTTTGGACCAGCCGGATGCCTGTGGCTTGACAGACTACTGGGGCTGGGTTGGGGCTGGAGCCCACACATCCGGGGGCAGGTGGGTCCCGCTGTCTGTGCCTGGCCTGACTGTGCTTTTGGTCCCCAGAGCTGGAGCCGGTGCAAGCCACCCAGAACAAGACAGGGAAGTACGTGCCACCGAGCCTGCGGGATGGGGCCAGCCGCCGCGGGGAGTCCATGCAGCCCAACCGCAGAGGTGAGGTGGCGGGGACGCCTCTGGCACCCCGTCATTATCCCCTGGGCACGGCCCGGGCACAGCCTGCCCCTCACAGCCGCCTCTCTTTGCCCCTCCAGCCGACGACAATGCCACCATCCGCGTCACCAATCTATCAGAGGACACTCGTGAGACTGACCTGCAGGAGCTCTTCCGGCCCTTCGGCTCCATCTCCCGCATCTACCTGGCGAAGGACAAGACCACTGGCCAGTCCAAGGTGGGCTGGCAGCCGTGGGGGCGGAGGAGGGGGCTTGTGTCCTGGCTGTTCCCTGAGCGCCCCTGACCCCACCCCCTCCCCAGGGCTTCGCCTTCATCAGCTTCCACCGCCGTGAGGACGCCGCGCGTGCCATCGCCGGGGTGTCTGGCTTCGGCTACGACCACCTCATCCTCAACGTGGAGTGGGCCAAGTAAGACCCCTGCCCTCCTCTGCCCCTCCCCTTTCGGCCGGGCCAGTCTGGCCACATGTGCCCTGTGCCACCACGCTGGCTTGCCTGCCCCCCCCAGAAGCCCCGGCTGCGTGTGGCGAGGGGGTCTTGGGATTCTCTCCGGGGTCCGAAGCCCTCACACCTGCCGTCCTCCCCACCCTGTGTCCCTCTCTAGGCCATCCACCAACTGAGCCAGCTGCCACGTCTGCTGCTGCTGGGCCCCGGGCGCCAGGACCCTGCGGTGACAGAGGTGGCTTCCCAGGGCAGGGGGCTCCAAGGGCAATAAAAGCTCCAGTCACCCTATGCTGTCCCATTTATTTGCGGATGTCACTCGCCCTGTGGCGGGTGGGCCAGCCCTCCCCCTCCCCCGCCTGGTCTGCTTGGGCACAAACTTCTGCCCCTCCGGCCTGGGTACTTGCTGGTCCCACCGCAGGCCTTTCTTTGTGGGAGGAAGTGATGGCCAGGGGTCTGCTGTTCCCTCAGCCCCTGTTGTGCCATGTCCCCGCGCCTTGTGGTGAGGCGGAGGCTCAAGAAAGGCCAGGTCATGGCTCAGGGAACTGGGGCCCCGAGGTTTTGGGGGTGGCTGTTTCCTTGAGGGCCAGGCCTTGGCTCGAGCTCTCAGCGTCCTCTGGGGTCTGGCCGCCCCTGCAGCCGAGGCAGCCTTGGTGGTGGCAGCCCAAGCTGGGCGCCACGGCCATGTAGAGCAGCGGGTGGATGCAGATGGCCAGGGGCATGAGGCCCCGCATGACCTGGTAGCCCACGTAGGCCCCCAGATCCAGCGCCTGCTCAGCCTGGGCCGCGTCTGTGAAGCCCGGGCAGCTGGCTACCCAGCGCTGCCGGGCGTACACGTTGAGCACCCGCGTGACATGGTAGGGCACATAGGAGCTGGCGTAGAGCGCCACACCGCTGGCCACCAGCATGGCCACGCGCAGCTTCTCGGCCACCGTCATGCCCGGGCTGCGCAGCACGGCGCGCCCGAGGGCTCCGTAGGCCCCCAGCGTGAGCAGCAGCGGCAGGGCGCCGCCCAGGGCCGCCATCGCCAGGCTGTAGATCCTGTAGGCCTCGAGCTGGCTGTCGTCCGCCGTCCCCAGGCACTTGATGCAGGCCCCGGGCTGCTCCACCGTGCACTTGCCTTCCTGCTGGGGCTTCTTGAGGTGCGAGAAGCTGAGCGTGGGGGCGGCCAGCAGGGCCGCCAGCACCCAGCCGGCCGCGCTGATGGCCCACGCGTGCTTGGGCCGCAGGTGGCTGCGGGTGAAGAAGGGGTGCACGATGCCCATGTAGCGGTTGATGCTGATGCAGGTGACGAAGATGACGCTCCCCAGCAGGTTGCAGATGAAGAAGAAGCGCTCCAGGCGGCAGGCGGCCTCCCCGTAGCGCCAGTGTTTGGGCGGGTAGAAGTAGGCGGCCAGCGGGGGCAGCGTCAGCGCGTAGAGCAGGTCGCTGACGGCCAGCTGGGCCGAGAAGACCACGGCCGGGTGCCACGGGCGCTGCTCCCGGGTGCCAAAGCGGTAGAGGGCCAGGATGTTGCCGGCCACAGCCACCAGGAACTCAGCCACTAGGAGGGGCCACAGAAAGCCCTCCTGGAAGCGGTTGAGGGTGCGGGCGGCCACCACCGAGAAGTTGGCTGGGCAGGGTGTGGCACCTGGGGGGGGAGAGGCACCCAGTGAGCCCTGGCCCTCTGCGTGCTCTGTCCGCTGCCTCAGTGCCTGTCGCTGGGACCACACACCCACATGTGCTGGGCCTGCACGAGCCATGGGGCCGTGCCGCACCCAGGAGGGGCGCCAGCCTCAGCTCCTTCCTAGACAGACTCAGGCCAGAGTCCCTCACTCAGCTTCATCTACTAGGGTCTCTCTGGGCCTTGCACCCCGAGGGCCAGCCGGGGTGAGACTCAGGGAGCGGCTCACTGCCTTTGTGGGATGCACGTGGAGGAGCGGGAGCCCAGGGGCGTCCCCGGCCCCACTGCAGTTCTCCTCCAGGTCCGATCCACCAGCAAGTCTATCTTCTTCCTCAGAACTGGTCAGCTCCTGAGTGCTGGCCAAGTCCGGGCCCTGACCCTCACCAGTCTGTTCCCCCCACAGCCTCCAGAGGGCGCCTGTGAGCACCTGACTGGGCACATTCCTCTGCTCGCAGCCCTCCTCACCTCACCTCAGGGGGCCCTGCAGGAGCTATGCTATCCCTCCCCCAGTATGCTCTCATCTCCAGCTCCCTGTGACTCATTCTCTGTCCTTCCCACACTAGTTACTGCGCTTCCTCTTAAGGCACACCTGCCTCTGGGCCTTTGCATTGCTGGTTCCCTTTGCCAGAGTCACCTGCTGCTGATAACCTTAAGAGTCTCCCCGTTCCTCAAGTCCTTCTGGTCTCTGGCCCTGAGAGGCCTGCTCTGACCACCTGAACACTGGGACTGTCCCCCTCGGTCCCTCCAGGCCGCCTTCTCTGTGTGTCTCCATCTGATCACCACGAGACAAATTTCCAGGTCACCTCCTGAGGGCAGGGAGTCCCAGCTCCTGGGCCAATAGTGTGAGCAAGCACAGCCCTGGGGACGGTTCCCTCTCACACCCCTGCCTCAGCGCTCTCATCTGACAAATGGCCTCCTCTCGGCCTGTCCAGCAGGCTGGCCGCCAGCCCCGGGCAAGGTGCACACAGCCCTGCCCGCCCCACTGCTTCCTGCCCTCGCCGGCTGCCTACCTGTCCCCTCTGCTCTAGGCTTCTAGTCCCCGTCCAGCCCCAGGTGCTAACCCACCTCCCCTCCACCTCCGGGGTGCAGCTGCCTCCACCATGTGCCCCCAGCCCCGGCCCCAGGCTGACTGCAGGGTCCTGGGCCCTGGATCTCACCTGGGATGGTGGCTGCCATGGCCTGCACACCCGGCCGCTGAGTCCGCTGCCCACGCTCTGCCGGTCCCTCCCCACCGAGCAGTGGTGGCGGCGCGCCTGGCCTGGCCCCGCCCTGCCCGCCACTCCAACCTCAGCCAGCAGAGCCAGTCAGAGCAGCACCCTTGCCCCCACCGCGCTTCCTTCCTCATTGCACGCAGCCCTCAGCTCGGTCAGGGGGAGTGGGGAGGGGCCCAGGACCCCGAGGCACGGCAGACCAGGGCCAGCATGCCACAGCCAGGTCTGGGGCAGAAACCATGTCCCCCTCCCAGGGGCTGCAGCCCCAGCCGTCTCGGTTCGCCCAGTGGGCCTCCAGGACCCCATCGCCAGCACAGACTCAGACTCCCAGAAGGTCAGTTTATTAGGGGGGTGGGGACACAGCTCCTTTATGAAAGGAAACCGAAGGCTGGCCCTGGAGGCCGGGGGAACCAGGGAGCGCCTCTCGGGCCCCAATCTGGGGCGTTCCGTCCGACCCTGGGGCTCAGGCTGCCCTCTTAGGTGGCTGTGCCCGGCCTCGCCCGTGGGTCCGGGTGGCTCCTCCGGGTCCCAGCTTGGCCTGGGCCACCTGGGCTCTGCCCTTGGCCTTCAGTTGCCTCCGGTCACTGCCTCGGTCCAGCCTCCGCTGTTTTCCCTGCTGCTTTTTGCCTGGGTGTCCAGCGGGCCGTCTCCGCTTGGCTGCCGTCGGGAACATGTCTACAGGGAAAGCTCGTGTCAGGGTCACCGGGGCACAGGGACAGGCCCATAGTGCCCGGCTGTGTCGACCTCCACCACGCACCCTCATCAGGCTCCTCGCCCACTGCCTGGCGAAAGTACTCGGCTTCATCCTCCTCCTCCTCCTCCCGCTGGCCGGCCCCCTCTTCTTCGGGGGGGGCCCCGGGGTCCTCCGCATCACTGTCCCCATCGGCGCGTGACCGCTTGATGCCCGCCAGGCTCTTCTTCCTGGAAGACGGGCATCAGTCAGTCAGCACGGCGGCTGCACCCGGGCCCGGGCTGCACCCACCCGGCCAGCAGCCCCTCACCTGTGGGCCTCTCGCTGTTCCCGCTTGCGCTGGACGTTCCGGGCCTGCTGATCCTGCCGCTGGGCCTTGAGCCGCAGCTTCTCCTCCTTGGCTGCCAGGATGGCCTGTAGCTCCTCCTCGGTCTTGTGCACTGAGCAGGAAGAGATGGACCCCAAGATCTTCACCAAGACCCAGGTGGGTGCACCACACCTTGCGAGCCACCTTTACAGGCCTCAGAGCCCAGGCTGGGTGCCCACCAGCCCCGTCCTCACCGAAACTGTGGAACAGCACGTTCCCCTCCCCGACACCCTCCTGGATCTTGATGAGCTGCAGCGTCATCCGAGGCCCGATCTGCAGGGACACAGGACAGGAGTGAGTCCTTCCCTGGAGAGGGGGCTGCCAGAGGAAGCCACCTCTGCCGCCGGGCCTCACCTCCGTAAGCCGCACGGCGCTCTGCTGGGCCCGCATGTTGCCGCGCCCCGCGACGGCCTGTGGCAGCTCTGTAATATTGTGCTCACCATCTGGCTCCGCCTCACTCTCTGACAGCCCCGCGCCCCTATGCGGGGGACACACGCGGCTCAGCAGGGGATCCCATGCTCCCAGGACAGCTCTGGGGTCCCCTGGACTGCGGCGGTCTCACGCCCCACACCCTCCTCACGTGGCCAGCAGCTCGCTGATGTCCTGCAGGCGGCTCATGTTGGGGAACTTCTCCTGGAGAAGCTTCTTCATCCCACGACTTGCGCCCACAGGAACGACTTTGATGCTGCTGCAGGGGCCGGAGTGAGCAAGCAGGGGGGTCAGGGGTCATGGGGTTGGCTCCACCCCCCGACCCTTTCCACGGTGCGTCAGAGCGTTTACTTTGACACTGAGCAGTCACAGAGTCTCAGCAGCAGCGCTGTCATCAGCCACATGGAGGCCACCCCCTCCGCCCGCGCTCCGCTCCCGGGCACTCACTAGTGGCGGAAATCCAGCTCTTGAGAGTCGGGGTTGTAGTTGATGAGAAGGCAGCGCTTGATGGTGTTCAGGTTCACCTGGACAGGACCCAAGAGGGGCCATGGCACCAAGGGAGCTGCCCACGGGCCTCAGTGCGTGTGGGAGCCCAGGCCACCCACACTCCAGAAACCCCACCAAGGGGGAACAGGATGCTGTTAGCACCGTGGGGACTGATGGGGCTGTGACTGGCGTCCATGAAGTGCCCGGGGCGCTGGCTCAAATCCTGGGTGCCAGGCCCACTGAGGCCACCCACACCAGGCTCCCTGATAATCAGCACCTAACAAGCCATGTTGGAGACCCCCTGGTGCCAGGGGTTAGGAGCTGGGCTCTGGGGCCAGAGAGATGACAACATCCTGTCCTGCCCCCGTGTATCTAACTTGAGCCTAGTGACTTCACCTCCGCCAACCTGCTTTACTCCGTGTCAAATAGAGCTCTAACAACACTCGCTCCACTGCCAAGACCAGTACTCAACGCACGCTCAGAAAATAACGCACTGCTGGCATGGTTTCCCACCTGCTGGATGGAAAGGCAGCGCATGGGGGAGCCTCCTGCCCAGTGTCCCAGATCGTACGAGTGAGATGCGGCCTCAGGGCTGGAGCTCTCAGCCTCAGTGATGGGAGGTAAGGACTGTGCGATCGCCCCCAGGGCCCGTGTGGCACCTGCTGCCTGCCCCATCCACCCTCACCTGACATCACACCAGGCCCAGCCCACCTTGTGCACGTTGATGGAGGGGAACAGGTTCTGGAACATGGTGGCCATGAGTTTCACGTGCATGCCGTGGGGACCAAAGCTGTTGAGCACCAGGAGGGGCGCGTGCGTGAACTGCTGCTCGTGCATGCGGTGCCGGCGCAGTGAGGAGACCACGTCACGCACCAGTGTGTACTGCAGGGCAGGGCAAGGAGTGGGCGATGGCCAAGCACACGTGCCCGGCGCCACCGCCACACCCAGCTCCTGCCCCACACGGTCCTCATGCCCCCTCCAGTCCTCACCTTGTTGATCCTGAAGGTCAAGGTGGGGCCTCCTGGGAGGCGCATCAGCTTCTACAGGAGGAGAAAGAATCAGTGAGGGTCCAGGCCTCCAGCTAGGGAGCAGGGGCATGGGAACTTCTGCCCCATCTCTTCAGAGCGTTTACTTTGAAGCCAAAATCACGACAGCTCAGAGGCACGTGGGTTCATCACCAGAGCTGGGGGAGGAGGGCGTAGGAGAGACGAGGGGTGTGGGCATCCACTCACAAAGTAGATATTGGTCTCTGTTTTGCTTAAGATCAGGAAGTGTGTGACCCCAAGGGGCCCAGCCACTGCCACGCAATCCTTCAGAGAGTTTTTCTTCCGGACCTGTAAGTTACGGAAAGAAAAAGCAAGGCTCAGATATCCCCTTGTCGGACAAAAGCCCTCAGTTTAAGCTGTTACGCCCCTTCTTGCGTCTAGCCCCTTGGCCTTTAGGGCCAATGAGACTTGATCTCGAGCACTGCCTCTGTCCCTTGGCTACTGCGCATCGCCCCATTTTGCAGCTGAGCCAACGGAGGCCCAGCGAGGTTAAGGAACTTGCTCCAGGCCTCTGAGAATCCGAGTTTCCAACCCAGCTTAACCACCGGCCTCAGGCACCCAGCCGAGCCCCAGGCCGCGCGCCTTCATCGGCGTGGCCTCGCTGCAAAGCCCTGAGAGCAGGGACGCTGGTCCTCGGAAGGGTCCCTGTCTCCAGCCAGGGAGGCGGGCCGGGGGGTGCGGACCTGCAAGCGGGTGGCGGTGAGCGGTTCCATGACGCGCCGCAGGTCCAGGCTGAGCTGCCGGACGCCGCGACCCGCGCGGCCCCGGGCGAACACGAACGAGTGCGGCTGCGCGGCGTAGGCCTCGAGATTGCGGAGCTGCGCCTGGGCGCGCGCGCGCTTCTGGTGCCGGGACTGCGGGGGCGACAGGCGAGCGGTGAGCGCCGCGGCCTCCACCGGGCCCCCGCCCGCGCCGCCCGCACCCCCCGCGGCCCCCGGCCGCCTCGCCTCACCCGCCCCGACTGCCCCATGTTGCCGTCTCCTCCACGAGGCAGCCTCTCCCGGCCACTTCCGGCGCCGCGCCGCTCACTTCCGGCGCTGGCAGGGGGAGTACTTCAAGCGGCGCTGTGTGGTGATGTCATCAGGCGAGCATGCGCAGCTGATGGCGGGCAGCGATAGGGTGGGAAATCTTTGGGAAGGTTGCTATGGAGACACCTGGTGCCTGTTTCTATGGAAACCGGGGCGGGGCCGCTCGGCTCCGGGCGCCCGCGTGGGCTTCGGACAAACGAGCCGCGAGTTCGAATCCCGCTTCGGCCACTTCCACCCGCTGTGCCATTTTGAGAACCACTGTCTCCATTCCCAGGCTCCTAAAATATCTAAAGTGTGGATGATAATCATTTCCCCCTGACCTGCGAATTAAGGGAGATGATGTATGCACAGTGCTTGGCACCCTGGCACCGGGCACCTGGGGAGCAACCAGAGAAGGGGGTGGCGCGTGGCAGTTACTCACGTGAGCCTCCAGCTACTGAGGGCCAGCTGTCCTCCCCGGGGGCCCTGTCTGCGGACGGGCTGAGGGATGGAAACTCCACATCACCTTCTGGAAACTCAGGGCAAGGCGGGCGCTTCGTGCATAATTCACCCCCTCCCGGTTTCCGCTCAAGGCCCCAATCTTGGCCTCAGGCCCCTGGCTTCTTCCCCAGAACCCTGGGGTGGGGGGAAGGGATGCCCCCCAACATCTCTCTCCCTGGCCCATCTGTTTCCTTCTGCCATTTACCTCCCCTCCCCCATTTGCTTCCCCTGCCCAATTCCCCCCCCCCCCCGCCAGTCTGTGTCTCCCTCCCCATCCCTGTCTTCTCCCCGTCTTTGTCTCCCTCTCCCCCAACTTTGTCACTACCGTCAATTGTCCCTTTCATCCCCCGTCAGTTTCCGCCGTTCTCCTCTCTCTGTCTCCATCTCCATTTCTCTCTTCTCATCTCTCTCCCTGACTCCCTATGTCTCTGCCCATCTCCCCCACGTCTCTCCCCTTCTCTGTCTCTCCGACTCTCTCTCCCTTCCGTCAGCCCCTGTCTGTTGACTTAAGAGGTTTCTTCTCTCTCTCCTGCCAATGGGGGGAGCCGGAGGGGGCTGCGGGTGGGGGGCCGAGGGGCCCGGTGTGGGGGGCCCCAGCCCAGGCCGGGAGCCCAGCCTGGCAGCCTCTCTCAGATCCGGGCCGACCATTTCCTCTCTCCGCCCGGGAGTCCACTCGGGTTACGGGTTCAGGACGGTAGGAAGTGGGGAGTCTGCGTCTGCTGGTCGGCGAGGCCTTCATACAGGTCTCTGGGCTCCGGGCGTCTATGTGAGTCGCTTTGTCCCTCCTCAAAATGACTGTGTGGTTATTCTGCCTGTTTCTGTCCCTGTGTGAGCTGTGCGAGGATGTGACAGTGGCGGGGGGAGATGAATGAAAACATACGCGCTGTGGCGGGTGGGCGCGTGTCAGGATCTCACTGTGTCCCTGGTTCTTGTCTTTGTCTTGCCTGTGGGTGACCTCGGGTACCTGGCTGTGGACGTGTCTGACACACAGATACAGACACGCTCAGCCCACAGGCTTATTTTCCTTTAAGTCGTGGTGTATGAATGTGTGTGACCACATTTTACACACACATGTGCTGCCCGAATCTGTGTTATTTCCAGTTGTGTCTTTCTATGTGTGTGTGCCAGGCAAATCCATGGACACACACGGACACACAGAGTCCGTCTGTCTTGGCAGCTCTGTGCAGTGGTTTGCATGCTCATCGGGTGTCCGTCTGCGTGTCTTTGTGTCTACACTGTTAGCACATACAGCAGGGTGTGACCGTTGTGGTATACATGTGTGAGTTCTGGAGCCAAACTACCCGGCCTGAATCCCATGGCCAACCTTTTCTGGCTCTGTGACCGCAGGCAAGTTGCTCACCCTCTCTGAGGCTTGCTTTCCTCTGCTGTCAAATGAGGCTACAACAGAAGCCAGCTCAGGTTGCAAGGACTAAATGAAATAAAAGGTGTAATGAGTTTAGAGCCGTGCCTGACACACAGCCGGGGCAGCTGGTGTTCGATGTTGTTCTCTGGGGTGAGTGCATGTGTCTGGCTCTCAGGCTGGGACCCCCCCCCGGCCTCCGGGGCCTGCAGCCTCCCACGCTCTGTGCTCCACTGTCGGGAATGTCCGGGCCACTGACCTGTGCTATCGGGCTCTGGCGGCCTGGGCAGGGGGGTCTGGCAATTCTGCCTCAGTTCTCACGCGGGAAATGCTAAATATTTACAGTTGGGGATGCTGGGCTTAGCCTTGTGGCTCTAGTCCCAGGCTCTGGGGGCAGGGGGTGGGTACCAAGCCTTCTCCCTTCTGCTCTCCCACCAGCCTCTCCCCTTCCCCAGCGCAGAGGCCCTGCTGGACCCTCGGCTCCTCCTCGGACGTCTTGAGCCTGCTTTGAGCCTGCCGGACTCCGGGGCTTGAGTGTGAGAGGTGAGAGGGCGGGAGGGCGGGAGGGCCGGTGAAGGCTCATTCTGTCCGTTGGGCCCTGGTTTGGCTCAGGGGCTCCCCAGGCCTCCTCCTCACCCCAGGCTGAGATCCTGGAAGGCAGAGGGTGTTACGCATACCCTACCTCTGGGGGCATCTGGCTCATCCCTGCTGTGGGGGACCTGGTGTCTTCAGGAGGGGCAAGGAGAGACCCTTGCTCCACCCTTGGGAGCTCCCGCTTGGTGTGTGAGTACAGCCATGAATATGCCCTTCTTTTTCCAGCTCAGACCCTTCCCTGGCTCCCACATAACTCAAAGTAAAACCCCAAGTCCTCTTCAAGGCCCATAAGGCCCTGCACACTCTGTCCCATCCCTTCCCTGTCCTCCCCACCTCCTGCTCTCTGCCTCACTCTGTTCCAGCCTCACACACCTCCCTGCTGTCCAGCAAGCTCTGACCTCAGGGCCTTTGCACTTGCTGTTCCTTCTGTCTGGAATGCTCTTCCCTTTCTCTCTCTTCCTTCAGGTCCTCCATCAAGTGTCATCTTCTCACTGAGGCCCGACCCCTCTATTCAAAAATGCTCCCCCTAGCCCGGGACTCCCACTTCCATCCCTGCCAGACTTTTCCCCTAAGCACTGACCTACCACCGTGTTTTCCTAACGAGGATGTCAGCTCATGAAGGCAGGGACTTTGTTGTGTTGGTCACAGCTGTGTCCCCATCGCCGGGAACAGCTCCCAGCACACAATAGGGGCTCCAGGAGTGTTGGTTGAATGTGTGACTGAGGCAGTGTGTGTGACGTGAAGACCGTGGGACGTGAGCCTCTGTGGCCACCAGGACGTGTGGGTTTGGACATCGTGGAACTTGGTGCAGATGGGGGCGACGTGTGGACACATGAAACGCACGTGTGTCCCCGTCTGAGAGGCTGCGAGTGTGAACTCCAGGGAGCAAAGCCGGGGGGGCCTGTGTGTGGACCCTGCAGGGCTGCAGGGGCAGTGGCCACAGGTACACAGCCTCGAGCAAAGACACCTGGAATAGCTGGGGAACAGCTGGGCACCGCAGACCTGGGGCATGTGGGTGTTGTGGGCATGTGTGTGACACCAGCACCGCTTCAGGCGCTGGGGACAGAGCAGCAAAAAAACCCAGACTCAGACTCTGGGAGCTGACATGTCGCTAGAGGAATTCCGATCATAAACAATGGCAAATAAACAAGGCAATTTCAGAGCGATCCATGCTAAAATGGGAAAGACCGACTGGAAAGGGGTTCCCTGCGAGGTACTGCTCTAAATGGGGTGGTCAGGGAGGCTTCTGAGGAGGGGACAGCTGAGCTGTGACCCAAATAAGGACAGAGAGGGAGCCCTGTTAAAATTCGGGGCAGAAACAGCTGTGCAAAGGCCCTGAGGCTGGAGGGTGCCTGGAGCAGAGTGAGTGAGGAGGTGAGGGCAGGGAGGAGCCCAGGCAGAGCATGCAGGGCCTTGTGGGCTGTGGGAGGACTTGATCTTCTCCTCTGAGTGAGGTGGGAGCCACGGGGGTTCTGAGCAGAGGGACGTGACTGACTTGGGTGTTCACAGGCGTCCTCTGGCCGCTGTTGGGGGACAGCCCAGAGGCTGAGGATGGACGACTGGAGACCTGGGAGGCAGCTGCTGTAAGGAAATCCAGATGGTGTCTTGAGCTGGGATCGTGGGAAGGGGCGAGGATGGGGGACGCGCAAGAATTCAGGGTCTAAACAGAAGCGCAGACAGGCCTGGCTGATGGGTTGGATCTGTCGCAAAGAATGAGGAGACATGGATGACTCTGGGACGTGAGAGATGGGGACGTGATGGACGGGGTGTCCACTACGGGACTGAGTTAGTGAGACTTGCCCCTCACCCCACCACACCCCCTCCCACCCGTTCTCCCCCTGTTCTGCTCCAGCCTCCAGAGGTTGCTTTAATGCATCAGGCATGGTCCAGCCTCAGGGCCTTTGCACTTGCCGCTCCCCCTGCTGGGGACGCTCTTCTCCCCCATGACTCCCTCCCTCACCTCCTTCAAGTCTGTTCAAAATGTCCCCTCCTCCGGGAGCTCTCCCCTCCTCTCCAACGGCCCCTGCACGGATGCCCCTCTGCTGTTTTCCTGTTTTCTTTTGCACAGAGCACCATCGAATGCACTCCTAATTCTAACCGTATTCATTTTGTTCCTTGCCCCCCAGGGCAGAGATTTGCGTGTTTTGCTCTCGACCGTATTCCCGGCGCCTAGAACTGAGGCCGGCACACAGTAAGCGCTCACTGCATGCTCATTGCAAGAAGGCGCGAGACACGCTGCCCCACGGGGCGCCTGGAACTCGCTGGATCGGCGGGGGGGGGGGATCCCATTGGGGGCTCTCCAGCCTCGGGGGGTGGGGAAGGGATGGCGGGCCCCGCAGGTGGAGACGCGCGCCCCGCCGCGGGGGGGCCGACGGCTCGGGCCGGGTCCCCGGGTCCCCCGCTTCCCGCGCGCCCTCCGCCCGCAGGTCCAGCATGGGCCCGCCTGGCCTGCGCGCGCTGCCGCCGCTGCTCGTGCTGGGCGCGTGGTGCGCGTGCGCGGCCGCCCCGCGCTGCACCTACACCTTCGTGTTGCCGCCGCAGAAGTTCACGGGCGCCGTGTGCTGGAGCGGCCCCGCGGCCGCGCGCCCCGCGCCCGACGCCGCCAACGCGAGCGAGGTGGCGGCGCTGCGCATGCGCCTGGGCCGCCACGAGGAGCTGCTGCGCGAGCTCCAGCGCCTGGCGGCGGCCGACGGCGCCGTGGCCGGCGAGGTGCGCGCGCTGCGCAAGGAGAGCCGAGGCCTGAGCGCGCGCCTGGGCCAGCTGCGCGCGCAGCTGCAGCACGAGGCGGGCCCGGGGGCGGGGCCGGGCCCGGGGGCGGAGCCTGCGGCCGCCCTGGCGCTGCTCGGGGAGCGCGTGCTCAACGCGTCGGCCGAGGCGCAGCGCGCCGCCGCGCGCTTCCACCAGCTGGACGTGCAGTTCCGCGAGCTGGCGCAGCTGGTGAGCCGGCAGAGCGGCCTGATCGCCCGCCTGGAGCGCCTGTGCCCGGGGGGCTCGGGCGGCCAGCAGCAGGTAACCCCGAAGCCCCCCGCCCCGTGTGCAAGCTGGGCCTCCCGCCGGCCCCTGAGCTCGTCACCGCAGTTCTGAAAGCCCCACAGCTCCCCGCGCTGGATTCCTGCCTCTCCTCCCGTAACTCATTTGGGTCAAAACGCGACTGGTGGTTGCTTGAAAGGCTTTACTTATCCCCTGTCCATGAATATTCATAGGGTCCTGTAATCAAGCACGTTAGTATGTAGATAAAGACCAAGACCCACGTGATCGGGGTGTTATGTAATATACACAGAGACCCTGTGTGGCTGTTTCTACTCCTGCCATTTTATTCTGGATACAGGGCGGTTGGGAGGCGTCCGTAAGTTCATACTCATTGTTGGAGGTGCTCGTTAGCCCTGCTTTTACAGAAAAGGAGTTGGAGGCACAGATGGGTTAAGCTGTGAACACCAGAGCAAGAGTTTAAGGCCAGCTCTGTCTGCTCTTGACAGCTGGGGCTCTTGGGAGCATCCGGTCCATGCCCCTGCCTGATCTCCCGCCCATCTGGATGCTGGGAGGTTTAGGAGCTCAGAGCCTCCTGGGCTGGGGGCTAGTGCAGCCACATCTGACGTTCTTGGTCACCCCAGGTCCTGCCACCACCCCTGGTGCCTGTGGTTCCGGTCAGTCTGGTGGGTGGCACCAATGACACCAGCAGGAGGCTAGTTCCAGCCCCAGAACTCCAAAGAGACCAGACCCTGAGACAGCAGAGGCCCTTGGCCTCTCCTCTGCCTGCAGGGCACCCTGCTGTTCCCACCAAGCCAGCGGGTAAGATGAGGGCAGGGTTGTTGGGGGTGTAGGAGCCCAAAGATGCCCAGTGCAGCATGAAGAGAGGGAAACAGGAGCCAGGATTTTAAGGGCAGATTCCCCTCATGGTGAGGGGACTGGAGGAAATGATGCTTTTAATCTGGTGATGGAACAAGGAGATATGGCTCTTATTCTGATAAGGATCAAAATTCTTGCTACGGTATGAAAATCGGAGGGAGGTACTCTTACTTTGATGAGGGGACAGGGAATTTAGGACTATGACTTTGGTGCAAATTTGAGCTGGTTCCAAGTACTGTGTCCAGGATTTCTATTCTGGTGAGACCATAGAACCAGGATTTAAAAACTCCAGGCTCCACATTTTCTCTGGTGAGAGAATGACTTAGACTCTTACTCAGGCAAGGAAATGGGTATTGTGGCTCTTATTCTGGTGGGGAAATGGGAGAGGCAGGACTGCTATTCTGGTGAGGGGACCAATGAGAATCAGGACTCTTACTCCAGTAAGGGGTTGGGTGGTCCAGGCTGTGATTCCCCCACATCTCTGTGCCCACAGGCCCATGGCGGGATTGTGCAGAGGCCCACAGGGCAGGCCACGAGCGGAGCGGAGTATATGAGCTGCGACTAGGCCGGCATGTGGTGTCAGCATGGTGCGAGCAACAGCTGGAGGGTGGAGGCTGGACTGTGATCCAGAGGCGACAAGATGGCTCTGTCAACTTCTTCACTACCTGGCAGCACTACAAGGTGGGTGCAGGGGAGCAGGGGCTGGGCTGGGCAGTGAAGGGGACCTGCTTTGACCTCCTGACCTTGCTGTCCTGCCAGGCGGGCTTCGGGCAGCCTGATGGGGAATATTGGCTGGGCCTTGAACCTGTGCATCAGCTGACCAGCCGTGGGGACCATGAGCTACTGGTGCTCCTGGAGGACTGGGGGGGCCGTGGGGCCCGTGCCCGCTATGACGGTTTCTCCCTGGAGCCTGAGAGCGACCACTACCGTCTCCGGCTTGGCCAGTACCATGGAGACGCTGGAGACTCTCTCTCCTGGCACAATGACAAGCCTTTCAGCACCGTGGATAGGGACCGAGACTCCTATTCTGGTAAGGCGAGCTCTTATTCTGGTGGAGAGAGGGTAGGGGAGGTGGGACTCCTAGGGAGGGAATGAAAGGGAGTGGGGGAAGACTTCCCTCTGGTAATGATCAGGGTAAGCAAGAGATGAGAGGACAGGACTTTTATTCTGGTGAGGGGATGGGGAGCCCAGATTCCTTCTCTGATGAGGCAATTCCTTCTCAAAAGAGTCAGGATTCCTGTTCTGGTGAAAGGTAGGGAGTGAGAGCTAGAACTCTTATTCTAAAAAGAAAGTAGAGAAGATTTTTTCCCCCTGATAACAGAATGAAAAGTAGAGCTCCTAGTTTGCAAAAAGGGTGGAAGAGGCATGACTTGTACTTCAGTAAGGGGATAGGGAAGGAATCCAGGCTATTACTCTGTAAAAGAAAGTAAGGGCCAGGGCTCTTATTCTAGTGAGGAGATAGAAAATCAGGGCTTATATTCAATAAGAGTGGGAACAGCCAGGAGAATGCCTGGCAAAAGCCTTGTACCAGTGAGGTGCTGGTGGAGGCTTTTATTCTGGTAAGAGGACACGGACTCTCTCTCCCCTCAGGTAACTGCGCCCTGTACCAACGGGGAGGCTGGTGGTACCATGCCTGTGCCCACTCCAACCTCAACGGTGTCTGGCACCGGGGTGGCCACTACCGCAGCCGCTACCAGGACGGCGTCTACTGGGCCGAGTTTCGTGGTGGCGCTTACTCTCTCAAGAAGGCTGCCATGCTGATCCGGCCCCTGAGGCTGTGACCATCGGCCCGTCTGTCCCCCTGGGACATATGTCAGCAGGAGCCCCAGTGGTCCTGGCCACACCTCCTCCGTGGCTCCCTGCGGGTCATGTCCCACAGACCTTCCCGCTGTGGCTCAGCTCCCCGGGGCCCTGAAAACGGGCCCCCGGAATCCCCCTGCCAACATCTCAGACCCCAAGGGCTCCCCAAGGGCATCTCGATCTCGGTTTGAGCGCACATTTTATAACAACACAAAAGATCCACAGAGCGTGTCTGTTTGCCTCTGCCCCTGGGAAGGTCAGTCCCCGCGCCCACCCTCCTCCTCCTCCTCCTCCTCCTCCTCCTGCAGGTCCTCCAGAATGAGGTTGTCCAGGTCTTCCACCAGGTCCCCCTGGCTCAGGCAGGTGGCCACAGTGGAGCCGCTGCTGATGTGGGGGTTGCTGGGGTGCAGGACTTTGGGTAGGTGGTTCTGCTTCCGGCTCTTGGGGTGCGCGCAGGACGTCCCGGGCACGTGGGGCTCTGGGAGGGAGAGGTTCGGAGGTCACAGGGCTCGAGGCCACAGGAGACTCGGAGGGCAAGGGGGCTGTGGCCACGGGGGCCTCTGGGGAGGGTGAGGCTGAGGCCACCACAGCTACAGGAAATTCCAAGGTGAAAGTGACAACGGTGGAAGCCACAGGCGACCCAAAGACATATGTGTCACCTGAGGCTCCAGGAGCCAAGAACACAGAGACCACAGGGGCAGAGGCCGCGGGGACACTGGGGTGGGGGCCACTGGAGTGAAACCACAGCCTCATGAGCCAGACCATGGAAGGTGGCTGACGCCACAGGAGGTGGGTGCGAGGAGGGGCAGGGGTCCAGGGTCACCTGGCGGAGGAGGCCACGGAGCCTGGGGGACCACGGGAGACGTGCCAGGAGGGGCTGATGCCCCGGGAGATGAAGTGGCCAGGGGGACTGAGGCCTCGGGAGGCACGAGGAATACGCAGGTGGAGACTTTGGTGTTTAAGGCCCCAGAGATGGACGGCCAGGGAGTCAAGGCCGAGGAGACTGCCCAGGGTGGCGGGGCCCACGGGGACGCACCAGGCGCTCACCTCGCCGGTTGTAGCAGTCGGCGGCCGAGCAGGAGTGGGTGTGCGTGCTGCGGCGATCCACGTCCCGGTCCCCGCGCGGAGGGAGGATCCGTGTCGGAAACACGGGGAAGCCGCAGCCGTAGCAGGGGGACGGGGACCCCATCTGTGCCCAGCCCCTGGGGATGGGCGAGCGGGGTGTGAGGGTCCAAAAGCGAGGCTGGGTGGAGGCGGGGCGGGGGCTGTAGGGGCGGGGCGTGGCCGGGGCTGGGGGGGGGGGGGGTCTGCATCCTCACCGGAAGTTGTGCCGACACTTGGGGCAGTGGAACTCCGCCACGCCCCACATCTTGTCGCAGGGCACCGGGTCATAGCGCTTCCGGCACTTCCTGCAGCGGGACACCTGGGGGCGTGGAGAGGGGAGCAGGCTGGCGGGCAGAGGTGGACCCTGGTCGCCTGATCCTGGCCACCGTGGGAATACCGGCTGGATACTGGCCCCAGTGGGAATATTTGCACCATGGAAATTGGCCAATGCTGCCAGTCTGGCGTACGAGCTGGTTGTGAAGCGCACACCAGAAGCACAGCGCTGATCGGGGCTCAGAAGCCAGATCTGGGGTTGAGGTTTGATGGCGGGGGTCGCTGTCAAGCGGGGGAGTCTGGGGTCAGGGCTGAGCTGCTCCTGTGGAAGGTCCCGAGTCCAGCTCGGGGCTTGGGGTTGGGGCTCTGAGCGTGGACGTCAGGGGTGGGCTCTCAGAGGCTGATGTTCTGAGGGCGGGGGTGCAGACACGGAGGAGGGGGCGTGCGAGTGGAGTTCGGGACAGAATCAAGGTCCGGGGCTGGGCCGTCACCTCCTTCCGCTGGGGCACGCGGCGCCACCAGACATGGTCACAGGAAGAGCAGGCGAACTGGCGGTCCACGGCGGGGATGAGGTCCTCCTGGGCGCGCTGGAACATGCGCAGGTTGGCTTCCGTCAGCGGCAGGAGGGAGGTCGCCACCGCCTGCAGGATAAGGGAGGGGACGACGACAGGGTGGTCACCCCAAACGTGCACGGCAGCCATCCTTTCCCTACAGGCACGCTCCCTCCTGCCCCAGGATGCCCCTCGCTCTCGTCCCCCCTGGTCCACCTCCCCTATCCCACACCCTGGACTCACCTGGATGTCCTGGTCCTGCTTCATGTCCTCTGGGGGGTCCTGGGTGGAGACACCAGGGGCAGAAGCTGGGGAGGTGGCTCGGGTCTCTTTTCATCCTTGTTTGTTGGGGGCAGGGCTCCTGGACAGGGTCGAGGCGGGGCAGGGTCTTGGCCCCCCAGCAGTGAGGTGTTCCTAACTCACCAGGAACTGGTTGAGCAGCACCCGAATTAAGAGCCGGGTGCATGACCTCAGTTGTCCTTACAGCAGCCCTGAGAGGTGGGCACACCTATTCACCTCATTGCTCAGACGGGGAAACTGAGGCCCAGAGCCGGAAGAGATCCCCCCAAAGTGGGCATGGCAGGACATGCCTGGACCCCATGCTCCCTTCCTGCCCGCCAACTCCACACACTTGGCATTGTGACCAGCCGCCTCTTTGAGCCCATGCTGCCTGAAGCTAAGAGCTTGGGCCCTGGATTCAGAGAACCCCCTCACAATCCTGGCTCCATCACTTCCCACTGTGGGGGCATGGCCAAACCACTCCTTCTGGGTCCCTAAGGAGGGGCATCTCGGGGCCCAGGCTCTGACTCCAGGTGGCTGCGGTTCAAATTCCAGCTGCACCTGCGCGCTGCGTGAACCTGGCGAGTGACTTCGTCACTCTGTGCCTCAGTTTCCTCGTCTGTCAAACGGACATCATAAATAACAGGACCCATCTCCTGGGGTCGCTGTGGCAATGCAATCAGTCAACAGGTCAAATTCCCCACGTCCTGCCCCCAGGGAAGTGCTCGATCAATGTTACTCCTTGCTGTTATTTTTATCATACTCTGTCTATGTATAAATGTAAATAGTATGATACTTGATTATACTATGTAACAATCCTATACGGGGCCGCTATCCAGGCAGGCGAAATCCACATCCACCAGTCCCCAAAGTCATGAAGGGGCAAAGTGGCCATGTTGCACCTGTGCCTCAAAGCCTTTCATTCATTCATTCATTCATTCATTCAACACATGGGCTCCTCTGCCCCTCTCTCCTCCCCCATCTCCTGCTCATCCCACCCGTCTGTGTGTTCCTTTGCTCACGCCATTTCCTCCTCCAGGAAGACCCTTCCCGACCTCATGTCCCTCAGGATCACGCCTCCCCAGCCTTGAAGAGCTGGCGCCACCTCCTTGAGGAAGCCTTCCCTGACTTCCAGGATTCCTCTACGATGCCATTAATCCTGATTCGTCTCACTGCCTCATTTCCTGTCTCTCTTCCTCATTTCATGCAGTCGGCATGTCACGAGCGCCTACTGTTTGTGGGCTCCCCAGGCAGACACATGACTGAGAGGTGAACAAGTGGATGAGGTTGGACCATGAGTTGCGGACCCAGAGCGCACAGAGGGGGCTCACCATGGCGGGGCCGGGTCCCCTCCGTTCCCCCTGCCCTGTCAGCCCGTCCTGGGAGGGGAGTGGGGCATGTTACCTGGGCATCCAGGTCATTGCTCAGTTCCTGTCCGTCCTTCTGCTTCACCCCTGGTGGGGAGAGTAAGCGTAGGTGGAGGGCCCTTGCGGGATCTTGTGGGAGTCTCAGGGTCCCCAGGGCCCCAACACAGACCCTCCCCGAGAGAAGATCTCAGGGCCTCTTCCAACCTTCAGCACAGACCACACCCCCTCCGCGCCCCCCCCCCCCCCGCCCCAGCCCGGGGACCCCCGCCCGCTCACCGTACACGATGGAGCGCCCCACGCCGGTGTGGTCGCTGCCAAATTTCCTCATCAGAGTCCCCGCCTTCTTGGAGGAAACCTTCCCGTGAAACTTCTCCCGGAGGCGCCGGACGCTCTTCTCCAGCTGGGGTGTGGACAGGGGGGCTCCGTTGGGGCAAGGAGACGAGCGACAGCCCCTCCCCCATCTCTAGGCATCCTTCTCCCGGCCCGAACTTGACCCTTGATTTTGGCGTCCGCCCCCGCCCCCCTCCATCCCTCTGTGGCATTTCCTGGAAAAAGCCAAAGTCCCCGCAGGTCATTGGGGGAGGGAGTGGACTAGGGCGCGCGTCCCAGGCTAAGGGACGAGGCCAGCCAGGTAACCCATGGCCTCTGACCCTTGACCCTGCAGCCCCCGTTCTTCCTCGAGGAGGCCGCATTTCGCTCTGGGGGAGGTGGCGGTCACTCTGCTTTCCGATGGGGGCGAGCGCCAGCCCGGAGCACCGTCCGGGCTGTGGATGGAGCGCCCAGGAACTGCGAAGCCCCCTCGGCGCCCCCGGCCCCTCCCCGGCGCCTCTCGCGGGCCCCCGGCCCAGCTGGAGCCATCTCCTACCTCCACACCTTCCTGAGACATGGTGGCGGCGGCGCAGGTCCCCGCGAGGGTCCGCACTGCGCGCGCGGCGGCCCCCTACCTGGGCGCGCCCGTCGGTCCGGCCGCCGCGCAGGGCAGGGGGCGGGGCCTGCGGCCGGCTCCGCCCTTCCTCCCGGCCCCTCTTTCGCTTTCGATTCCTGGGGGCGACGGGGCGCGCTGGCTCCGCCCTGGCTCCGCCTCTGCTGTTGCGCCCCGAGCCCGGGCGGGCGCCCGGGGTCTGCACCCTGCGGCGGAGCGCGCAGACCTGGGGCGCGGGAGGCGGCGCGGCCTCTGCAGTCGGTCACATGTCCCCACGCTGCGCGGGGTCCGCGTCTTCACGTCCCTCGTGGGGGCGGGGCCGCATCAGAAGGCCGCGGCGAGTCTCCGCGCCCCCCCAGCTCGCGCTGCCCACGTTCCTCGCCCTCTCCCCTCCCCTCCCCCAGGAAGCGGGCACCGATGAGGACCTGGGCCCTTTCCTCGCTTTGGGTCTCTTACCCGGTCACCTCCTTTCTCTGAACCTCAGTTTACTCCTCTGTAAAATGGGGATGATAATATTGGCTACATCCTGGGTGTGTGTGGGCGCGCGCGCCAGAATTCGAGACCCCGGGTAGAGCACTCAGGAGCGCTTGGCCTGCAGCAGCCTCTCAACTAGTCACTGGGTCACCTACTATGTGCCTGTTCAAAGGGACAGGCAGTAGGGGGAAGTGGGAGGTGCTTATTAAAAACACCCTGATTCCTGGTCCCTAGCAGTCCTGCAGAATACGGCTGTCTGGGGTTTCCTGAGAATCTGCATTGTAAATCCGAAGGTTGAGAACCCCGGGGGCCAGGACAATCCTAACCTGGCACAGGACGCTGGAGGAGCCCTTAGAAGGGGCTCTGGCCCGGCCTCGGGGCGTCAGAGATGGCTTCTTGGGGGAGTCCTTGAAGTCTGAGGTCTTAGCTAGGTGAGGAATGAGAGAAGCAGCTCCGGCAGGAGCGGGTCTGGCGCGCTAGGCTGCGCCTGCTCAGCCTCACCAGTATTGACAGGTTGGGCTGGATAGTTCTTTGCGGTGGGGCCCTGCCCCGTGCACTGTAGGGTGCTGAGCAGCGCCCTTGGTCTTTACCCGCTAGATGCCAGTGGCGCCCCTCCCCCAGTCGTGACAACTTAAAATGTCTCCAGACATTGCCAAATGCCCCTGGGGGTCAAAATCGCGTTAGGATAAATGACTCCAAAAGTTGCTTTTCAATTCCGCACCTCTATCAGTATTGATGTCCAGGCTCCATTCCCACATGGGTGTCTATTTAAAAATGACAGACAGGGGGCTGGCCCAGTGGACCAGTGGTTAAGTTTATGCACTCTGCATGGGTGGCCCGGGGTTCACGGTTCTGATGCTGAGCACGGACCTACACACCGCTCATCAAGCCATGCTGTGGTGGTGTCCCACATAGAAGAACTAGAAGGACCTACAGCTAGGATATACAGCTATGTACTGGGGCTTTGGGGAGAAAAAAAGAAGAATTGGCAACAGATGTTAGCTCAGGGCCAATCTTCCTCATCCCCCCCCCCAAAAAGGACATGCAAATATGCTCATATCAATAGATTCTGTAGACTCTTTTATAATATATTTCTTACATAACGATATTCTTGAGCACACGAAAAATGGATTAAAAAGTATAGATGTTCTAATGTTTTCTACTTGAACCTCAAAGTTTTGTTTGTGGGGGTCTCTGGAGCCCACTCTATTAGCAAATGTAAAGAGTTCATGGTTCTTTGGGGCTGAAAGGTGGCATTTCAGGCAGGGATGGGGCCTGCAGGCTGCATAGAGGACCTGGGGTTTTGTCCTGAGGGGAGCGAGGAGGCGTGCAGCGGCTCCCCCATTAGAGTTGTCACTTACAAATTACCCAGTGGAGAGGGAGGTCACAGCTATGTCCCATCCCCCGGCCAGGGTGGGCCTCAAGTGGGCAGGAAACAGATAGGAGTCTGATCCAGCCAGGACATGAATCAGGTCTGCTGGATTCTCATAATAATGGCCAACATATTGAGCACTTCCTCGGTGCCAGGTGCTGTTCCAGGCACGTGGACACAGCTTGGAACAAAACAAAGATTCTTGCCCTCATAGAGCTGGCATTCGAGTGGGAGAGACAGACAAGAAACAAACATACAATGGGACAGGAAATAAGTTCTAGGATGAAAAATGAACAGGGGTAGGGGGCTGGATAAAGAGGGGATCAGGGAAGGCTGTGAGAAATAACATCTGCGGGGAGACCTGAAGGATATGGAGGAAGAGAGTTCCAGGCAGCAAGTGCAAAGGTCCTGAGGTGGGAGCGTGGGACTGTTGTTACCAGTTGCAGTAGTTCTTCATTGCTGCCTAACACATTATCCCCAAACTCAGTGGCTTAAAACAGTAAACGGTGGGTCAGGAATCCAGGAGTAGCTTTGCTCGGCTTTCTTGGCCAGGGGTCTCCCCACCTCGATTCCTCCCTACTTGGGCTGTTTGAGTGTGCAGCCTTCCCCACTTGGCCTCCCCCAAGCAAGTGAGCTGAGAGAAGGACAGCCTGGCGGAAGTTGTATCTTTTTATGACCCAGCATCAGAAGTTGCATGGCGTCACTTCTGCCCCACGTCCTGTATGTTAAAATTGAGTCACTGGGTCCAGCCCACGTTTAGGGAAGGAAAGAAAGACCCCGCCCTCTCTCCCCTCCCACCTCCTGCTGGAGCATTTCATTGGCTGCACCGGAAGCCAGTCATGCTGTCAGCCTCCCAGGGCACAGAGCAAGAGGGGGAAGGGTGACAGTCCATCTGGAAGGACAAACAGAAGATACAACCCGAGTATTGAATTTCGGCATTTGTAGATAAACAGAAAGACGAATATTCCCAGTGACCGCATGAGGACGCTGCCTCCACACCAACGGTTCCGTGGAAGCTTTGTGGCCACTGTGGCCTGGCCAGATGTGCCTTGTTTGTGCTGTGGTGCGAGCATTACTGCATTTTATCTTTTGCCTTTACAAAAAGGTGTAGAGAGGGAGCAAATGGATGTACTGAGAATAGTGATAAGAAGTGTAGCCTTTGACACTTTAGTATAATTGAGTCAAGATGGCGCCTCTTTGATCCATCCATTCATTAATTTGTCAGACATGCATCAGACGCCTTCTTGGTGGCAAGTGTGGTGCTGGGCACCATTTCTGCCCTTCCGGAGCTCATGGTCTTAATGGGAAAGAGAAACATGATGCACATAATATCCCCAGCAATTATGTAATCACATATATGGTATATACCGAAAAAGAGAAGTGGAGAGACTCGAGAGAAAGGATAACACATGGGAACCTGACTTGTGCAGGTTAGTCAGGCAGGGCTTCCTGGAGGAGCTGCCTCTTGAGCTGAAATCCTAACATTTTCTGAAACACTGTGCCAAGCGTTGGAAACTAGGTATCTCGTTTGATCCTCACAGCAATGCTACGAAGGGGGTAATATTATTGCAAATGGGAAAATAGTTTCAGGAATCTGCTCAAGGTTCCTCTAAAGGGTGAATAGGAGTTACCCAGTTGAAGAGGTGCAGGGGAGAGGCAGCAGCATGTGCAAAGGCCCTGAGGTGGGAAGGGGCCTGATCCATTGCCAGGAAGCTAAAGGCCAGTGTGGCTGAGGCTTAGCGAGCAGGGGGGCGAGTGGAGGGAGGTGAAGCTCGTGCCAAAAGCAGCAATATCTTGACCTTCAACTGGACCCCTTGAGGCTTAAGCTGGGTGAGCGTACGTTTCATGGTGGAGGAAATGGATACAATTGGAGCGTTTATGCACTTTCCACAATCCAGTCAATTTACCCCTCAGTTGGGGGAAATTTGGGAATGTCCGGAGGTGCAGGGAAGCGGGGAATCTCCAGACTGTTGGAGAGGCTGTCCCTTGAGAACCGTCGGAGAGGGCAGCTTGGCAAAACTCAGGAAAGCATTAAACACGCTCTCTTAGCCATTTCTTTCCTTTTCTGTAATCTGATGCTATGACATCTGGGGCCTTGCTGGCGCTGTCGAGACTTCCCCGCCCTGGGCACACACACAAACCATTCTGCACCCCCATCTCTGCACCACCTCTACTCTCCACAATGCCTGTTGCTCTAACAATTGCGTTTTTTTTTTAAGCATCCATCACTTTTGTCATCAGAACCAAAAAACACACAGTAAGGGAAATCCAATTCCTGTTTAGAATAACGTGCGAAACCCTGGAAATAGATGTTTGACAGGGACACCTAAAAGGTGAGAAGTCATTTGGGATTTCATAATTCATGTAGCCCGTGGCAGGCGGAATGTCCCTCACAGCACAGAAATCTATTGTTCGAGTTTTTCGAAATCAGCCTCAAACACATTTCCAGGAAGACAGCGTGTGCAAAAGCTGGGTTTGAGGGGGTGAAGAAATCGCCATGGCTAAAAGACTCTGAGTGTCTCCAGGGCTTGCTGGGCGCCAGGCTCTCTGGGTGGTGTCCCTTGTCCTTTAGGTAGGTGCCACTGTCTCTTTTTCAGATGAAAAGTTGGAGCTTCAGGGCAATTAAACAAATTACGCAGGACGACACCCAGCTTAGAAGTGGCGTCGCCAGGACTCGGACACTGGCCAGCCGACTGCAACGCTCTCTCAGGCCAGAATCGGGGACGAGAAGTGTAGACATAAGGCGGGCACACTTCGGAACCGGACAGTCTGGGCTCGAGTCAGTGGCTAGCTCTTTGAGCAGTTTCTTAACCTCTTTCGGCCTCAGTTTCCCCATCTCTGAAACGGGAATAGAGTCGTTGTGAGGGTTCCATGAGTTAATACAGATGAACCACTCAGACCTGCGTGGTCTGACGGGGTAGCCACTGGCCGCATGTGGCATTTGAGCCCTTGAAACGTGGCAGGTCCTACTCCGGGTGTGCTGTGAGTGTCCACTGCACACTGGATTTCAAAGACACGTAAAATAACTCTTCAGTGACTTTATATTGATTACGAGTGGAAGTCACAATATTTGGCATATGTTGGTTAAGCAAAATACATCATTAAAATTAATTTCACTTGGGGCCGGCCCGGTGGCTCAGCAGTTAAGTTGCACATTCCACTTCGGCGGCCCAGGGTTCACTGGTTGGGATCCTGGTGCAGACATGGCACCGCTTGGCAAGCCATGCTGTGGTAGGTGCCCCACATATAAAGTAGAGGAGGATGGGCACGGATGTTAGCTCAGGGCTAATCTTCCTCAAAAAAAAAAAAAAAAACACACAACAAAACAACAAAGTTAAACATTAAGAAATGTCTGACTTAGAAAGAGTAAGTCTTTATCTACCCAGGAAAACAAAACCTTAAGTTATAGGACATGCAAGCAAACCGTGGACAGTTCTGGTTTCTGGGGAGGGGCAAAGAGTCGGGGCTTATGATGAGGGGGGTGTCTCATTTTTTTTCTGTATATCTGTCTTTTGGGGAATCTTTTTGCTAGAATGTCTTCATGTATCATTAAAAGTAATAATAGGGGCCAGCCCTGGTGGCATAGTGGTTAAGTTGTTTGTTTGTTTGTTTGTTTTTTGAGGAAGATTAGCCCTAAGCTAACATCTGCTGCCAATCCTCTTCTTTTTGCTAAGGAAGACTGGCCCTGAGCTAACATCCGTGCCCATCTTCCTCTATTTTATATGTGGGACGCCCACCACAGCATGGCTTGCCAAGTGGTGCCACGTCTGCACCCGGGATCTGAACCGGCGAACCCCGGGCCGCCGAGAAGCAGAACGTGTGCACTTAACCACTGCGCCACCGGGCCAGCCCCAATAGTGGTTAAGTTTGACGTGCTCTGCCTCAGCAGCCTGGGTTTTGTTCCTGGGTGTGGACCTACAGCATTCGTGGCCATGCTGTGGCAGTGGCCCACATACAAAAAGGAGGAAGATTGGCAACAGATGTTAGCTTGGGGCAACTCTTCCTCAGCAATAATAATAACAATAATGATAATAAAATAAAATAAAATAAGGGATGACAACTCCCCCTTGCCCCGGGATATTAAATTTGATGTGTATTCTCCAGATCTTTTTCCTTTGAACTACTTATTTTTCTGTCTGACTTCATGATGGTGACATTCAAAGAAAACAAGTAGCTTAAAAACAGGCATGAGGCTGGCCTGGTGGCCTAGTGGTTAAGTTTGCGGGCTCCACTTCAGTGGCTCGGGATTCACCGGTTCAGATCCTGGGCCTGGACCTACACACCACTTGTCAAGCCGTGCTGTGGTGGCGTCCCACATAGAAGAGCCAGAAGGATTTACAACTAGGATATACAACTATGTACTGGGGCTTTGGGGAGGAAGAAAAAGAGAAAGATTGGTAACAGATGTTAGCTCAGGGCCAATCTTCTTCATCAAAAAAAAAAAATCACAACAAAGTCCAGATTTCTGAAACAAGGTTTGAGATTAAATGGAGAACTTTGTTGCCAGGCACTCCAGGAAGATACGCCCCCATTCAGGGCCTCTGTCTTCTCGTGTGTAAAATGGGACAAATACCAGCCCCCATCTCATGGAACTGCTGAAAGAAGAAAAGGTGTTAATGTGTGTGAAGTACTTAGACCAGAGCCTGCACATAATTGGTGCTCAATAAATGTTTATTTTGACTCTTGGTACCAGATGCATGTTCAGACCAGAGTCTGCCCCTCGAGACCCTGAGCTCATGGCTGAATCTTTTGTTTGCTCATCTGTAAAATGGGATCAGAGTCCTGGCGCCTATTGTAGGATTAAATGAGAGACACACAGGAGAGACCCGCTCTGCCTTCACGTGGTCCCCAGGGGCATCGATAAACAGCCATAACGCTCCCTGTGGATGTCCTGGTTGCAGGAGGAAGGAGCGTCCCGGCGGTATTCCAGAGGGAGGTGGTGTGTGAGATGCAAGATGCTCTAGGCGCGGAGTGCGATGGGAGAAGGAGGGAGAGCAGAGCTGGGGGGTCTCAAACCTCCCAGAGCATCAGGGCCTCCCTGGGGGCTTGTTACGAGGCCGCTTTCCAGGCCCACCCCAGACCTACTGGAGACGCTGAGGCAGGACATGCCACAGGCTCCCGCACGACACGGGGTCTTATCTAGTCAATAAATGCTGAGTGCCAGGCTGGGAACGAGCAAACAGGCAGAAATCTCTACCCTCGAGGAACTGATGTTCTAACGGAGGAGAGAGTAACATGAAGATTTATTGAGAGTGGCTACGACACAATGGGGACATCAGCAGATATTTGAACAACACACAAAGAAACTATGGTTATCGTTCTTAAGACACGTCTCCTTTTTGTCGTCTACAATGTATACATGCCACTATGACCAAGAACTCAAGATCTGGAGTGAGACAGTCCTGGGGTCAAATCCCTCCTCCTCTGCTGGCTCACTGCGGGCCGTTGGGTGGCCCCCGTAACTTTGCCATGCTTGAGCGGGGCAGAGAAACGGGTCTCCGATGAGAGTGAAGAGCTAGACAGGTTCACTGAGAGACCCCAAACGACCAGAGATGCTGGAAAGGACCCAGGTGGTGGCCGATTCAATTTTCCAAGGATGGCCACTGTATTATCCATTGTCACATAACAAGCTATCCCCAAATTTAGCAGCTAAAAGTTGCTTCACTACTTTGTGGTTCCTGTGGATCAGGAATCTGGGCACCTCTTAGCGAAGTGCCTTCGCATCAAGGTTCCCCACAAAGTGGGACCTCAATCTTGGTGTCAGCCGGGACTGTCGTCATCACAAGGGTCAACTTGTATGGTTGAATTTAGGTCTACCATTTTGCTATTTATTTTCAGTTCATCTCTTTGCAGCCCCGGCCCCCGCGTCCCCACGACCTCACCCTCGGCGCATCTGCAGACGTCTTTGTGGCAGATCTTCCGCAGGGAAGATCGCTCTGTGGGCAGATTGTAGAAGGAGCTGCACCTCCGGGCTGCGAGAGGGGTCGAGAGCCTGCGGTTGCCTTGGGCCGGCGTTCCTGGGCGCAGTGTTCCCTCCTGGCCGCGCCCCCCGCAGGCCTCGCCCGCCTAGCTCTCTCCAGCCACCCCGTCAACAGGCCCCTCCCCTTTGCAGACCCCGCCCCCTTCCTGCCCACCCCAGCCCCAGCAGGCCACGCCCAGTCTCTTCTTGGCCCCGCCCTTCCAGGGCCCACACCGACCGCTTCGACCACTCAAGAAAGCCACGCCCCTTGTCATCACACCCTTTTTGGTCCCTTCCAGCGCCTTTCTCAACCCCGCAGGCCCCTCTTGGCCACGCCCCATTCCCTCCTGGCCCTGTCCGTCACCCTCCCTCCTGGCCCCGCCCCTCGCCCTCCTTCCCGGCCCATCCATCACAGGCCTCTTCCCCTCCGGGAGCCCCCTCCACCCCAGACCCCTGCTCACAAGGCTCCTAGTAGTCGTAGACCGTGACGTGCGCGGCCTGCAGGAACTCCGCCTTCAGCATCCTGTGGACCCGGAAGCCCAGCATCGTGTCTTCCTTGTGGGAGAGCTGGGGGAGGAGGGTGCTGTCTGAGCTGACCAGGGCCACTGACCCTTGGGCACTGACCACAGGGCCTTGGCCGTCCCACCGACCACGTGGCCTTGACCACTGAGGAGCCGGCCTCAGACGGCGTGGCTGTCTGGCAACCCCACCCAAGGCGCTGACCGCGGGGTCTCCGCCCACAGGCCTCTGGCGCAGGACCCCCGGCCTCCCTCACCTTCTCCTGGTAGAGGACGACGGTGCTGTCGCTGGAGCTCGTCTTGGTCTCATACTGGAAGGCGTACATCTCCGCCTCGCTCGTGAGCTGGGGCAGAGGGTGAGGATTACAGGTGGTCAGAGACCCCGGGGCCCCCAGCCGCAGGAGCCCCAGTCAGTGCGGGGTAACTCTCAGAGTTCCCAGCCCTTGTCCAATCAGTTGGGGAAACTGAGGCACAATCAGGGCAAAGATTTGGCCAAGGTCATGCAGGGAGACAACCAGAAGAGGGCATGGCTGCTGACCGTGGGGCATTAACCCCTGGACCTTGACCCGGGTAGATGCTGCCTTGCGCACACACGGGGAGTGTGGGGGTTGCCAGGGCAACACCAGTGGGCAGGTTGGACCCTTATTACCTGTTTGAGGTCCTTCTGGTTGGGGTAGAAGCCGGTGATCAGGGAGACCTCCATAATGGTCATCGTGGCCTCTCGATCACCCTGGAACCTGGGGATTTCACAGCTCCCGTCTACTCCCACTTTCCTGCTGTCCCTTCCCCCATCCTCCCACTGCCGTCATCTCTCGCCTGGACTCCTGGGTCTCCCTGTCGCTCCTCTGCCCCCAGCAGCATACAGCTTCAGCAAACAGGATTCTGACATGTCATCTCCTTGCTTAACGACCTTTACCAAATGCCTTGTCTCACTCTTCTACTTCACCTCCTCCCACTCCAGCCTCCATTTGATCAGTCTCTCTCCTGCCACTGGACCTTTGCACATGCTGTTCTCGCAGCCTGGAATCCTCCCTCCTCCACTCTGCCCTGCAAAATCCTTGCATCTTTGCAATCTCAGCCCATGCATCACTCCCTCTGGAGGCCTTCTCTGGCCCACACACCACATCGTTCTCTCATTTGCCCTCCTCTGGCTCACGGACTGCTCCTTTGCTGCACTTAATGACAACCGTCACTTTACATTGATTCTGGGTGATCAGTTTGGTTATTGCCTGTCTCCCCTGATAGGCTGTGAGCTCCCCTGGGGCCGGAGGGGCTGCCTTGCTCACAGCTGTTCCTCCAGCTCCTAGAGCAGAGCCTGGCACTCAGCAGGCACTGGATATGGGGGGCAGAGCAGGACTGGGGGCGGGGCTGGGGCATAAGGAGGAGATGAGGATGCTGGCGAGCCGTGGAGCTTGGAGGCGGCTCTAGGTACCTGGATCATGGAGTATGTTTGCCATGGTGGAGCCCGCCATCCTGGGACCTGGCCGGATGGGGGGTTGGATGGAAGAGCAGCATGGGAGGGCGGGGTAGGAGGTAGCATGGGAGGAGGGTGCAGGGCAGGGCCGCAGGAGAGATAGGGTGAGGGGCAGGCGCAGAGAGGCAAGCTTGGCGGGTCCCCCCTCCATTCGGTCCACAGGGAAAGCTGCTGGGGAATCTGGTTACCAAGAAGTGAGGCCTTCCTCCCGCCCAGCCTGAGATCCTGGTACCCTGACCTTGTCTCCATCCGGAGCCGTAAGGTCTCTTCCCCCTTTTTATTCACTGCAGAGAGAAAGCAGATGTTTAGAGGCTGGGTAACACAGCCTCAGGAACTAGCTTCCTGGGTTCAAATCCTGTCTGCTGTGTGACTTTGGGCAAGTTGCTTAACCTCTCTGTGCTTTGGTTTCCTAATCTGAGAAGCGGCTCATAACATTCCTAACCCAGCAGGGTTGTTGTAAGGATTAAGTGAGTTAATACAAGCAAAACACTTAAGACAGTGTCAGATCAGTGCTTTATAGTTGTCAGTTATTATTACTATCCTTATTACTATTATTAAGAAATGGGGCTCAAGCCAAAAGCTTGGTCACTTTTGGTCCCTAAAAGTCCTGAGACTGGAGAGGGTTGTTCCCCCACCCCGGCGGTGAGCTCCCAATGGCAGCGTTCTCTCTCCTCCTCACTGTGGCCTGCAAGTCCCTGTGCCATGTGCCCCTGTCACTTCTCCAACTCTTTCTCCTAAGACTCTACCCCTTGCTCCTCTGTAGCCACACTGGCTTCCTCACTGTTCCTCAAACCAGGTAAGCTCATTCTTGCCTCAGGGCCTTTGCACCTGCTGTTCTGCCCTCCTGGAATGCTCTTCCTTCAGATCCTTCATGGCTTATTCTCTTACTCAACTCAAATGCTGCCTCCTCAGAGAGCTTCCCTGGAACCTCTCTAAGTCTGAATCATCTTTTTAAACTTTATTTTGCGTGGCACTTATCATCACTGGCTATTATGCTATATATTTATTTTTTATAATGTAGGTTCATTTCTTTTTAATTTATTATAAATAAATAACAGTAAGAGTATAATATACTGTTACTGTGTTATTGTTATTGTTGTACTGTTGTTATATTGTTGTTGTTGTGTTACTGTTTGTCTCCTTCTACTGGAATGTGGGCTCCAGGGGAAGAAGGTATATTTTTTCTTCATGCCTATGTTCCCAGGGCCAATAAACAGAGCGCGCCACGTAGTAAATGCTCACGAAACGTTTGTCGAATGACTGAATAAAGCAATAACTGTGCTTCCTGAATGAGAGCTCAAGTAAAATCATAAAAATGCCGAGTTGGCTTCCCTGGGGCCAGGCTCACCTTCCGGGGCATTCTGGAGAGTCACGTTCAGGTGGAACAGGTTACAGGTGTGCTCCCAGGACTCTGGGGACCTGTGGCACATGGTCAAGATCTGCAGGGCAGGGAAGGAGTAAGAGCCCGTCCCACCCACCCCCTTTCCTCCCTGCTCCAGCCCTCGCCTGCCCGGGGCTCTGCCCCTGCGGGGAGTTCACAGCCAAGCCCGCCCCTCAGTCCGTGGGCGCAGCGGCCAGAACACCCCATGGCATCTAGACCAGCTCTGCTAGAACTTTCTGCGAGGATGGCAGCTGCCTCCATCTGCTGTCCAGAAGGCAGCCACTAGTCGCCTGCGGCTCTTGAGCCCTTGAAATGCAGCTAATGCAACCGTGGAGCTGATTTTTTTTTTTTACTGCAATTAATGGAAGTGTAACTGGGGCTCAGGGAGGAGTGTGACATGCCCCAGGTCACACCACAGAGGCAGGGGTTCACCCGTGACTCCACTGCTGGAAGCAGGATGGTAGGCTGCCTCAAATTTGCTGAATGAGAGGGCTGTCGTCCTGGGCCACAGGGCACGAGGCTGCAAGATGTAACAGGGCTGCTGGCTCAGATAGTGGGGGGAGGGTGCGCCTTGGGAGGCACCCTGAGGGAGAGTCTCCCTTGAGGGGGGCAAGGAAGGAGACACCCCTCCAGGGACTCGCATGGAGGGGCAAACGGGTCCAGAGGCCTCTATCTCCCCTGACTCTTGACTTAGAGCAAATGAAACTCTATCTGCGCCTCGATTTCCCCACCTGTTGAATGGAGTCCTTATTTTTACCAGCTTCCCAGGGGGTGCTGGAGGCGTCCTCAGCTTCGTTCCTAGCAAAGTGCAGTGCCATAAATGGTAGCTCAAATTATTACTGATTTTGATCTTGTCCTGGAGTCTAGTCTGGCCTCTCTTCCCACCCACTGGGGGCCCTGGGCTCCAGCGCAGGATCTCGAGGGTGCGACACCAGACCTACCGAGACGGTGCCTCTTCCTCTGCCGCTGGCTCTGATCTCTAGTTCGTCCTGAGCAGAGAACTGAAAGGAGGAAGGACGCGTATTGGAAGGTGGAGGAAGCAGCAAACATGGCTCGAATGCAGTGGGGGTGGGAGGAAAGCATGCAAGGGCACTGGCGCCTCATTATTTCCCTAACTTGGGGTCTGCTCACTCAATGCCCAGCTCTCCCCATGCAGATAGTTTTACATTTCCTTCTTGTTCTTCTTCTTTTTGGTGAGGAAGATTGGCCCTGAGATAACATCTGTGCCCATCTTCCTCTATTTTGTATATGGGACACTGCCACATCATGGCTTGATGAACGGGGTGTAGGTCCTTGCCCAGGATTTGAACCAGTGAACCCCGGAACACTGAAGCTTGCAAACTTAACCACAACACCACTAGGCAGCTCCTACTTTTCCTTCTTGATAGAACATTTGTGGTGTGTACCCTGTCACAGATCAACCAGAACTGCTGACTCAGGCTATGTCCGAATGTACATCTGTCTAATCTATCCATAGCATCTCCAAAGTTCCCCAGGCATGGAACCCCCACAAGACCCTTCTCCCTGGCATCTCTGCATCGACTCATGCCCCCCACATACCTTCTTCCGTCATCAGCCAGAGCAAAATTTTACAAATTCACATCCAATTGCATCATCCCTGCTTAAACCTCATTGCCATTCTGGGAACACTCCAGCCTCAGGGCCTTTGCACCTGCTGTTCCCTCTGCCTAGATAGCCACCAGGCTCACTCTTTCCTTTCCTTAAGACTTTGCTCAAATGTTACCTTGTTGGTAAGACCTTCCCTGCCCATCCTATCTAAAATTGCAACTCCTTGATGTCCCTACCCGCTTCCTGCTATTTTCCCCCCATAGCACTTGCCAGCCTTTAACACACTATATGTTCTACTTATTCACATGTCTTTATTATTTGTCTCCCCGACTAAAATATAAAATTCTACAGAAACAGGGTTTTTTTCTGTCTTGTTCAAGGCTGTATTTCCAGCACTTAGAACAGTGCTTGGCACACAGTAAGTGCTCAGTAAAGATGGGTCGAATGATTGAAGGTAAATGTCATCTCCTCCATGGGATAAGGTCATGGAAATTACCTTACTCCCCACACCCAGATTATTTTCCCCTTTATACACTTATTTCTTTTCCCTGTGTTCAGAGAGCCTAAAATAGAATATATTGATTCCGTTTCTTTCTAAACTGTAAGTCCCATGAAAGCAGGGACCACAGACCTTTCATAATGTACCCCTGATGCTCAGGAGAATGTTTGGCACGTGGGGGAAATGTTTGTGGAATAAATGAATCAATACATTGACAGTATTGCCAATGGTTGTGAGATACTCTTGGGGAGGGAGATTGATAGGGATATGGCTCTTGGCCTCATGTCCGATGCCACCTCTGTGTGGCCTTCTCGTCTGCCCCTGAGCGCCTCACCTTTGCTGACCGCTGCTGGTAGGCACTGTTCTGATCGATGAGCCACTCCACGCTGAAGGCTGTCTTAGGGGCGCTGATCTGGACTCGGAGATCCTGGACACCCTCGAAGGGGACAGCTTGGCTGAAGCGGGTGAGGGCCTCGACGGCCACCGCCGTGGCCTGGGTGTTGGAACAGAGGCCGCGGATCAGCACCACAGACAGCGCCCCGGGCGCAGCACCACGGACAGCTCCTTCCGGGGGCCTGGCCGCGTCAGCACCTCGGCCAGCGCCCCCAGCCCCGCCTCTTCGAGACCCCGGGTCACCTGGGTGGACTGGAAACCGCCTCCCAGCTCCCGCTTCTCCAGGAGCCACTTGATGATGGCGTACGTCTCATTGTGCCGACCCAGATCCAGCTTCTGCATCAGCGCGTAGGCCGTGGCCTCAATGGTGTACAGGGAGTTCTTGTCTGAGTCGTTCACTGGCCAGTGGCTTTTATGTAGAAAACGGATGGCCACCTGGTCACCCAGATCAGAGCTCCCCTACCTAGACCTGCCCTCCCCTTGTGTCATCTGGCCCGATTGTTCTCATCTGCTGTTTTATTGAGCGCTTACTTTACGTGGAATTCTTTGAGGGGGCTTACGGACACTGTATTTTCAGAACCGCTCTAGGAGACAGGGACTCTATTTCAAGATAGGAAATCGAGGTTCCAGGAGGCTCCTCCAAGTCCCTCCAGTCTTACTGCAAGTGAGTTTTCCTAACTCGACTCCTCTTGACTTGGGGAATGGGGAAGATGGGATAAGGACTTTGGAATGAGGTCGGGTAGGTCATGGGAGGCAGAGCCCTCTCAATCACCCACGTTTAGTGGCCTTCATTCCATCCTTGACCACAACAAGCACTTTCTCACTTAGGGCGTTTGCATGCCCCACTGCCTTAGCTTGGAATGTCCTTCGCCTTTCACACAGGTTGGCCTTCTCATCTTTCAACAGCTCAGGGGTCCTCTTTTCCCACAGGCCTTCTGAGCCCTCTAATCCATACTCCCCTCCCCTTGTCATCTCTCCCACCCACCTTGTATGCTCTCATCTCAGCATTTATCTCAATTTGGAATTCTCTGTTGATCTGTTTGTCTTCTGCCTGCCTCCCCCAGGGGTGGTGGGGCCTTTGAGGGCAAGGACCTTATCAATCTTGTTCACCTTGGTTTCTCAGGATCTGAGAAACCAAGATCAAGAGTTGGCACACCATCGGTGCTCAGTAAATGCTGAGTGACGAAGCACTCATTGCTGGGTTTGAGACCACGCAATCCCCCTCCCTCCACCGCCATGACTGTGGCAGACACACAGTTGTTTAAGAAGTGGCCCCACACCCACCATGGCTGGCAAAGATGTCCAGGCAGTCATTGGCTTTGGGGCTGTTGGTGGGGACCAGAGCATAGGAGACTATGGCTATGGCAAAGGTTGTCTGAATGCTGGGGAGGCGTTGTTCCAGGAAGTCACTGGCTTTCTTCATGCTGGCAATCAAATTCTAGAGAGTCAGAGAGAGGAGGCTAGAGGAAGGTGATCGGGGGAAAGGGGTCTGGGAGTTAGAAGAGAAGCATCCATTGAGAGGAACGTGGGGGTGGGGGAGCTCCCTGTGTGGAGGGCGTATGGCACCCTGCAGGTCCTGCCCTCCTCTTTGGGTCCTAACAGGACGTCCTTGATGCACAATTCCTTCCCTTCATTCAGGGCGATCAGGACAAGAGCTGTGAGGGATACGTCCGCCTCAGAGTTTTGGTAGCCACCCTGTGGATGCAGAACCACACCCATGGTCCCGTCAGCATCTTGGGACCATCTTCTCCAACCTCCCCGACCTTGAAAACTCCCACATGCCCAGCTCTGGGCTGGATGATGCTGAAAGCAGGATGGGGAGAGGGAAGGAGAGAGGAGGAGGAGGGGCCATCTTGAGATTTGCCCGTATGGGGTCTGCCTTACCAACAAAACCTAACAGCCACGGAGGGCACTGGGCTAAACTCTCTACATTACCTCCAAGCATTCTTGCAGCAGCTCCGTTTTCCTGATGAGGAAATGGAGGCTCAGAGAGGTGAAGTCTCCCCATTGCTAGTTAATGACTGACTTAGGGTTTGGACTCCTCTGCAGTCTCCAAGCTTCCACCCTCAACCCCTTCACTGGGTTGAACAGTGCCCCCCGCCCCCAAACTCATGTCCACCCGGAACCTCAGAATATGATCTTATTTGCAAAGAGGGTCTTTGCAGGTGTAACTAGTTAAAGAGAGGTCATACTGGATTAGGGTGGACCCTATATCCAACGGTGAGTGTCCTTATAAGAAGGCCACATGAAGACACACAGAAGGAAGGAGGGCCTATGAAGATGGAGACGCAGAATGGAGCGATGCAGCTACAAGCCAAGGAACACCAGAGCCACCAAGCTAGAAGAGGCAAGAAATGATTCTCTTCTAGAGCTTTCAGAAGGAGCATGGCTCTGCCGACACCTTGATTTTGGACTTCTAGTCTCCAGAACTTTGACAAAATAAATACACTTCTGGCGTTTTAAGCCCTCCAGTTTGTGATACTTTGTTAGAGCAGCCATAGGAAATGAATACGCCCCTCGCGGTCTTTTCCTCCCACAGTGGCCAATGAAGGCTGTGAGGTCTCGAATCAGGTCACGTCCCTCCTGTGCTCAGAACCTTCCATGGCTCCCACCTCACTCAGAGAAAAAGCTCACATCCTCCTTGTAGCCCACAAGGTCCTGCAGAGGGAACCTCTGTCCCATCCCCTCCCTGCCCTCACCTCATCCCCCTCTCCCCTTGCTCACTCTATTTCACACTGGCCTCCTCTCTGCCCTTCAAACATATTGGGCACATTCCAGTCTCAGGGCCTTTGCACATGCTTTTCCCTCTGCTTGGAACACTCTTCCCCTCATTATCTATATGACTTGCTCTCTCACCTCCTGGTCTGTACATTTATCATCTCCTAATGAAGTCTTCCAAAATCACACCGCCATCACCTTGATCCCCCTTTCCCTGCAACCCTCCCCTGACCACTGCTAACATGCCACATTGGTTACATCGACATTAGACTTATTGCCTGGCTGATTTTCGTCTGTTTTCGTAAAACCTGTGTTTGTAACCTCTTTGTGCCACCTTCCTGTCAGGCTCTCGCTCACACAGACCCTCCAACTCCTTGAGTCCTCCTACCCCTGGAGGTGCAATCTGTCTTTGCTGGCTTCATTCCTTTATCCAGAGTTTTATTCAGCAGACACTTGCCAATGAACCAGATCCTCTTCCCTCCCTGGAAGGACTCACAGTATGGAAAAAGCAGACCCTGAGCAGACTATTTCAAATCCTCACTGAGGCCCCCAATGCCCTGCAGGCTCCAGGATCCGCCATCCTTCTTCCCTTTCAGGCCTCAGGATGGACTGTCCTCTCCCCTAGCTTTGGGCTCTGATCACCCTGGTCTCTTTTACATGTTGTCAAATGTGCTGGAGCCTCAGGGCCTTTGCACATGCTGCTTCCCTTGCCTGAAGCTCTCTTTCCCATTCTTCCCCCACCAGCTCTCTTCCTCCATTGGGTTGCTGCTTTATTGCCACTTCCTTTTGCAGGTTTCCCCTGACACCCCCAGGGTCAGACGTGACCCGTATTCAATACTCTCTCCTGGTATTTCTCACCCATGGACTTAATCACTAGTTATAATTCTTTGGGGAACTTTTGCCTCCCCCCATCCCAAGCTGTATCTATCTTGTTTCCTGCTGTGTCTCCCCTCTGCCTAGCACAAGACCTGGTACACAGCCGTTGCTGGATAAATGTTTGTTGAATGAATGAATGAATGAATGCCTAATGTGATAGGTGCAATGATGGAGACAGGCAGAGGGTTGGTATTCAGGGGATCCTTCCTGGAGGAGGTGGTATCTGAGAAAACATAATTTGGCCAGGTGAGGGGAAAAGAAGGGCTGGAGTGGGGATATGTCATGCAGAAAGGGCAACATAAGCTAAGACACGGAGCTGAGGTGGAGGGACCCAGGAGCAGGGAGTAGGGAAGGGTGAGGCTTGAGAGGAGACACGAAGAGAGGGAGATAGCAGAGAGATAGTCGTGGGCAAGTGTGAGCCACGGAAAGTGTTTGAGCAGGACAGAGACCTCCAGGACTGTTTGTAAGCTGTTTCTGGAGGTTGGTGTGGAGGGATACTTGGGAGGGTCAGCCGTGTTGGTGGGGGGATGGCAGGACGCAGGCCCTGTGAGGCATGGGGGCCAGGACTGGGGCCTGCTTGATGTGGGGGTGAGGGAGAGATGGGGTCCCAGCCTTGCCCAGCCTCCCGCACATTGCAATGGAGTGCAGGGCAGTCCAGAGCAGGGGATGTGATGCTGGGGACCAAGCCTCGGCTCTTCCCTTTTCTCGTTCTACCTGAGAGCAGGTCAGGGGCTTGAGATTCCACTGTTAGTGCCCAGAGCCCTGGGTTTTATTGCAGCGGCCCAGGCAGGGGGGCGGTGGGCACCTGCATGGACGCCATGATCACAGGGCCCTTCTCCAAGAAGCGCCCGTCCTCTGCCTGCCTCCGGGTGATGATCCAGTTGGCAACGGCACAGAGAGTGTGCATGTTGATCGTGGTCACGGTCGCGGTGTGGTAGGCCAGGGTGAAGACCCGGAAGACATAGCTCGTTAGCCTTTTGGGAGGGAGATAGGGTGGGTGAGGACCAGGAGTGACAGCCCAGGGGGGTTCTAGGACACAGGCATCTACACCCGTCTGGAGGAGTCCACACCCTGGACCACACGGCTCCAGACCGACCCCTCATTTGCTGTTCCCCAGTCTGCCTGTGCCGCCGGCCCCAAGGCCCCGCAGTGTGGGTGCCCCTGGGGTCATCAAGCCCAAGGCTGGCCCTTTGGGCTTCCTGGGGGGGTGGGCAGGACTGCCAGCGTCCTCATCCTTTCCAGGTGCTTCCGCGGCTGCCCTGGCTGGAGTGGTAGGAGCCGTCATGAAGCCTGTGGGTCAGCATCTGAGTGTAACCTGCAGGATAGGGTGGAGGAGAGCTTGCAAGGAGAGCAGGGCTGGGGGGTAAGGGGGGAGGGTTTGGGGATGGCTGGGGCGGGGGTGGGTGTGGGGGTCAGGTGTCAGGCATCATCTGGGCGGGAGCAGGACAGGGTGTTGGTGTGACTTGAGAGTGCATCACATCTAGAGGTGGCCTGGAGGAGGGGGCTTGTCCGGGTGCATCAGGGAGGGGGCTGCTGGGCCCATGTGTAAACGAAGGTCACTCTCAGGTGTGACCGTGGGAGCCCGTGTGCTGTTGTGTCTGGGGGTGACCTGGGAAACCGCCCCATCGGGTCATCTGGGGAGGATGTGACCAGGAACAGTCACTCGGAGGGATCAGAGAAGGTGACACTCAGGAAAGAGGGGACTCTGGGGGCCACCACGTGCCAGTTTCCTTGGGGCTTCTTTCTTGACTGTAAACTAGGGCTGTCGGTGTGTCTGTGCCGCCTGGTGGAAGGTCCTCCTGAGTGTCGTCTGGGGGGGGGGCGCCTCTAGGGAGGACTCTGAGCGTTGTTACTCGGGTACTACCTGAGGGTTCCCTGGGCGTCTGCTCTTCTGGGGTAACGTTGGGGGTGACAGTGTCTGGGCATTATCTGGAGCTCACTCTCGAGAGCTCCTGGATGGAGAGTTGATGTCTGAGTGTAGCCCGGGAGACGGGTCTGTGTCCAAATTAACTTGAGGGTCTCTGTCCGGGTGTCATGAGCGGGGTGCATCTCTGGTTCCCTGGGGGGTTGGAGGGGGGCTGGGAAGGTGTGAGTACTCAGGTGGAACCAACAGGCCACCCCCTGGGGGTTTTCTGCTTGGGGCCTCCCTGGGGGTGTAACCAGGGGTGGGTCTAACCCGACACAGTGTCTGAATATAACATAACCTGGGGCTTTGGGGTGAACCAGGGGGCCCGTTGTCAGACTCCAGCCTGGAGACAGGGCAGGGTGAAGGCAGAACCTGGGGGCCCTGCTGGGGGTCCCCTGGGGGACTCGGTATCACGTCATCTGGGAGACGAGTCAGAGTTTGGGTGTTATTGTCTGGGAGGGTCCCTGGGGTTACCCCAGCCCTCCACCCAGAGAGCCCTGGACACCGTCCTCGAGGCCCCGCCAGGGTCCCCTCTCACCACTGACAATGTTCTTCATCACCTGGGTCCTGTGCTCCACCCTGACCTTGTCCCACTGGCCTGTGGCATCCAGGTAGCTGGTCAGGATGATCACGGGCATCAGGGAGCTCAGCGTCTGCTCGGGGCAGCCCGTTGGGAGCCTCAGCAGCTGCTGTGTTTCTGTGGGTGTCAGGCTGCCCAGGATTGTCTCACCAAGGATGTCACCTGCCAGGCGGGCAGGGTCACCTCGGGAATGGCCTAAGCCCCCACGGCTCCCTGAGTGCCCCACATGGGCACCCCCAGCCCCTCCTGCACTGTCTGTGCCCAGGCAGGCCCTGGGGGGAGCTGTCCCCCAGCTCTGTCTTCAGTACCTTGGACACTGACAAACACTTCGGCCTCTGTATTGGGCATCTGGTTCAAAACGTCCTTTTTTAGCACCAGTTCTGTCTGGGTCTGACCTGAGTGGACACAACCTTCTCTGACAAGCAGATTCTGGGGCTGGGAGGTCAGAGGGCACAGAGCCCAGGAGGAGCTCGGACCACCCACCTCACCGCACCCCGTCAGGTCAGCCTCTCTGCCCTGGAACGGCCCGGGAGGGTGGGATCCCACATGCTCCTTGCAGACCCCACAAACCTTGGGGGTTCAGGAGGATGCTGTGGGAGAGCAGCTCTGTCCACCCTCCTGCCTGTGGGATGCAATGAGGAAGCAAGTGAAAAACAACAACAGTAATAATAATGACAATCACAATGACCGTAGGAGGAAACATTGATTAACTATTAAAGTAGATTCTGGAGCCCTGATATCTGCCTTCAAATCCCAGCTCTTCTGCTTCCTAGCTGTGTGACCTTGGGAAAGTTACTTAACCTTGCTGTGCCTCAGTTTCCTCATGCATAAAAGGGAGAGAATAATAGTTCCTACATTCCAGCATTGTTCCTAGGGCTCAATGGATTATTATTCTTAAAGCACTCTATTGTAAGGGCTAAACGTGTGTGTTAAGTAAACAAAGTATTTTTGATGGGTCACATACTGATCATGCATAATTTTCATAGCTCTGATTATTCGTCGCTACGATGATCATCCTCATCCTGGAAACGAGGACATGGAGTTCAGAGAAGTTAAGTAAGCTGCCCAAGGTCACACAGCAGGGACAAGATTTGAACTCACCCTGACTCCAAAGTCCCGAAGTGAGGGCTCTGTGATGGATCACACAGCCTGGGTTGCAGGGGAGGCCCTGCTGCCTACACTGGCAGCAAGAGGTGGTGGGTGCCTATTACCTGGACCAGGAGCGTCTTCTTCATGTGATCCTGGATCCCGAGGCCCAAAGCCTTGACCTCCATGTCCACTTTGCCTATCTCGAGTGGGAGAAGCACGAAGGGCACCGTCTTGGAGGAGGTGGGGGGCACGACCACCACCTGGCGGTATGGGGCTTCCCGCCTTGAAGCGCTGCAGAGTCGCTCCTTGTAGGGGAACTCCATGCCGACCTGGGGTAGGGTGATCAGTTACGGGGGTGACCCAGGACCCTAGAGTCACAGTCCCTTCCCTGCCCCTGCCCTGAGAGTCCCGAGTAGGTGACAGCACAGCACAGTGGTTGAAAGCAATGACCCCGTCTGAATTCAAACCTACTCGGCCTCTTATGTGCTGTGTGATCTCAGAAAAGCTCTTTAACCTCTCTGTGCCTCAGTTCATCTCTAAACCAAGAAAATAATAGCATCTGTCTGATGAGGTCATTGTGAGGTTTAAACGAGAAAATAGAAGCTTTTTCAAAGGGCCACCACTTCACTGCACCCTTCAAATAATGGACACACTCCATCCCCTTTATAAAACACGCTGACGTGGGGCCAGCCTGGTGGCACAGCGGTTAAATGTGCATGTTCCACTTCGGCGGCCCAGGGTTCGCCGGTTCGGATCCCGGGTGCGGACATGACACCGCTTGGCAAAAGCCATGCTGTGGTAGGCGTCCCACATATAAAGTAGAGGAAGATGGGCATGGATGTTAGCTCAGGGCCAGTCTTCCTCAGCAAAAAGAGGAGGATTGGCAGAAGTTAGCTCAGGGCTAATCTTCCTCAAAAAAGAAAAAAAAAACCCAATCCCTTGACGGATGTTTCGGTGGGGAAGGAAAGCCGCGGGCTTCACCTTGGCCTGGCGGGCCCTGAAATTGTACAGAATGGCTTGGATCTGGACTTGCTCATTCCTGATCACAGAAGAGGGCAGCTTAAGATCCACAAAGAACTCTTTCTTGACTGTCAACTCAAAGGGACCCGAGACGCAGAGACCTAGAAGCGGCAGACGCGTCAGAGTGACCTGGAGGCCCGCTGTCCCGGGGCGGGACGCTCTCCCGTCCTCTCAGCACTGGTCTGTGGGGTTACCTTGTCCAGCCTTGAGGCTGACGGCCACCAACTGCCACGTGCTGATGGAGTCGGGCACGTTCACGAGAATGCTGCTGTGCAAGATGCTGCCGGAAGCCGGGGGCAGGGCGGCGGCGGGGGTCGGGGGGACATCAGTGAGTTTGTGCTGCCTGAAGCAAGCCTGTGGATCAGGGGTCACTGTCCCAGGATTATGATCACTCTGGGGGGGGGTGTCACTGGGTCACTCCACTGACACACTATCACCAGAGGGTCATCATCTGGGGGGATCTACTGGGATCTGTGCCCCTATTCAGGAAAGTTTCTATCTTGGGACAATCCTGAGAGCTCAGCGTCACCAGTGGGGGCACTGGCCAGGACCGATGTGTGGAGGGACCAGGGGCCAGATGCTGGCATCGGGGTTGTGGTCCTACCCTGATCCACTTTCTGGCAGAGTAATCTTCCTCCAGAGCCAACTGTCAGGGAACCAGGTCCGGACGGGCAGGTCGTCCAGGAAGATGTCATCAAAGTCTTTGTCTTCATCCACTGCAAGGAGAGGACACGGGGCAGGGGTCTCCTTTGTGTCTCCCCCGTGGCCCACCTGACTCCTCAGTGGGGCGCTCCCACGCCATCCCCTTGTGGCCCTTATCACCGTTTGACTGTCCCCCGGCACTCCGTGCCCCTCACGGAGCCCCCCAACCCTGGGCCCCCTGCCGTGACCCCCTCACTTGTCCCCAGAAGCAGCTGCTCCTCTCGCGCCTCCTGAGTCAGGGCATCAGACAGATGGCAGCAGCTCGGGAAAGCGGCGACGCAGGCTGGCCCGTGGTGGACGTGCCGGGTCCTCTCCTCATGCGACAGTGCCACTGGGCTCTCCCGGAGCCCAGCCTCACAGCACTTTCACTCCAGCTCTGTCTCAAACTTATTCACTGTGGGCCAGGGTTAGAGGGACAGAGGAGGGGCTGAGAGAGACCTGAGGGAGCTGGGACCCATCCACCCCAATGCCGTGTACACCTGGCCTCTATTTAGCCCCAGCTCTGGCAGATGCTGGTCCTGGCACTTTGCCTGGGCCTTCCCCAACACTGAACCCATGTGGTGAGTTCTGATGAGGAGGGTGAGCAACAGAGAGGTCCATTCACTGGCCCAGGCCACACAGCTCACAAGTGGCAAAGATGGGACCAGAATTCATGCTGCTTCTTTTTGCTTCTTCTTCTTCCTCCTCTTCCTTCTTCTTTTTTGACAGGGATTGGTAATCCCCCAAGATGCCATTTTGACTCCCAATTTCCATTATATATATATTTTAAATGAAAACATAAAACTTGCTGTTAAGCATGATGTCAAGTGGAATCCTTCTAAATTAGCCAACTGAAGGAATGTGCTTAAAGATAAAAATACTATGGCAATTAAAAAATCTCATTTTCCACCCCATCACAAGATTAGAACACCTGTAGTTAAATAATATCGCTGATCATTACCATAAACAAAACCACAGTTTTTCTAAACTTTTCCCAGAAGGTTAGCATGAGTTTTGATATGGAAATTAGAATTAGGGTTTTACCTCAATCTTCATTAGAGTCCACTTACTGTCCTTTTATTTAGATCCACAGAATCACCAGCATTGCTCAAAGAGACTGAAAAATCTAATATTGATAGAATCCATTCAGCGAACGCCACCCAGTACTGCTTCCCATGTTCCTTGAACTCCAGGCTCAGAGCTTCCTGTTCCGGTCCACACCCTGGCCTCGGGTGTGGCAGGATTGCTACATCCTATTCATTCATACTCAGCACTCCTGTCTCCTTTCATCTACATTCCCTCCTGTATCCCAGAGGCGAGACGTCTAAAAACTACATTTCCCAGACTCCCTTGCTGCTGGGGTTCTCGATGGAGTTAGATTCTGCCACCAAGATGCTCTTGTGTACGATTTGAAAGCTAGAAAGATGTGAAGGCCATTTTCCCTGCAGCAGCAATAGGTGATGGGTGGGCTTCAGTCTATGCGTGTCTTTGCAATGGGCACAATTCCGTGTTCCACCATCTACTCGTCAGCCCCATGAGAGATATCGGTTGCAGGTTCCTGAGATTTCACGATTTGCAAGAACTGTGGTGGGGTGATCTTGAGTCCCAGCAAGCAACCTTCCAACTTTTACTCCTGTTGCCCATCTGATGACTTGGAAAGCACCAAACTCCCCTCGTTAAATACCTCCCTCCCTGCTTGAAGTACCTACAGTGGTTTCATCTCTGTTCTAAGCCTTGATGAATACAGTAGGTTAGGGAGCCACGAGGGGCGCATCCCCTCTGACCTGCATTCCTCTTGGTCTCCAGCCTCTTCAGGGAGTGGCAGCGGCGGGTAGGAGGGGGGCTCCAGGGGCAGTCCCACTCTGGGGGTCAGAGGAAAGAGTGAGAGGACAATTGTCAAGATCATTATAACATCCTTGATAGTTTCTGGGTGCTTACTGTATGCCCAGGGCTTTATATGCATCACCTCATTTTATTCCACAGTCTCCTGATGTTCAAAATTTGCTACTTAAAAGCTGTGCAATCTTCAGCAAGTCACTTAACCTCTTGGGCATTAATTTCCCCAGCTATGTAAAATGGTATAATCATAATTCTATCAATGAGATCATGCATATAAAAGTACTTAGCACAGGGTCCAGCTTGTAGTAAACAGAAACTATTGTTAATACCACTATTTACAGCCTAAAGAAGACACTCCTAGTTGTCCTCGGTATCCATTCTCCCCCTTCATCTGTGGCAACTAAATTTCTATCTTTTACATCACTCAGAATGAAGACTACTTTTCCCAGCCTCCCTTGCACCTGGGTGGGGACATGTGACTGAGTTCTGGCCAATGAGATGTGAGAGGAGTGTCTACCTCTTCCTTCTTCTCTCCATCCTGCTGTCTGGCATGAGGTCCTGGTGAGGCGCCATCTTGAAATATGGCAGAGCAACAAGATAGAAGGAATCTGAGTCCCAGAATGACCTCTGCATAGTTACTAAGAGAGAAGTAAACTTCTACCCAGTTTAAGCTACTGTTCATTTGTATCTCTGATACATGTGGCCAAACCTATACCTTAACTAACACAGAGTGGGTGACTTCTATTATTATCTCCATTTTATGGACAGAGAGATAAGACTCAGAGGAAACGTGACTGGCCCATGGTAAGTGTCAGGGTCTTGGATTTTAGCCCACCTGTTTGACATCAAACTCCACGTTCCTAACCACTAGGCAGCATGGCCCCTGCCTCTGCCCTCCTCCTGCCCCAACCACTGCCTGTACCTGAACTTGCTAGGGTGTCCATCCCTGTGCTCATCTTCATGTCCAATCCAGCGTCCTTGAATACAGCAAGTCTGTCTTTCCCACTGCCTGCAGTGCAGCCAATGTCGTGTTCCTCTACCACTTCCCAGACCTGGAGGGCAAGAGAGAAAGCTGGATGTGGAGCCTGCATGACCCCTCCAGGGAAGGCATAATGGTGCACTGAATTGCTGCTCAAGTAATAATTCTCACACCATCTCTCATTTATTGAGCTCTTACCACCTTCCAACCCATGCTGTGCACTGGCTCTTGAACCCTCTCAAGCATCGGTATTGCTCATTTAATAGCTGAAGAAACTGAGGCCCCACTTAGAACCTCCAGGCAACCTCTTGGCAAAAGCCCACATACTCTCACCTTCTTCTGTGTGAGCTTGTGTTTGCTGTTCAAGACATAGACAGCCTTGTCCACAGACACCAGCCCCACTGTGGCCTCTGCATCACCTGTCACCTTCACCTCCACCCGGCTGTTGGGCTCCAAAATCTGGGGGCGTTGGTCATTTTTCAAGCCAACCTTCAGCTGAGCCAGGAAAAAGAGAGAAGTCAGGGAGAGGGACTCATAGTCTATCAAGGGGCTTCCACTTTCATGTTCATGCATCAGAGAACTCCACCAGGCTAATCTCAACCCCATGCATTTACTTGTATCTTCTCCACGCCCTAGGTTGAGCTTTTAAGGCCACATCTCTTCCACTTCCTCTCGCCTGCCCCCAGACTGGGAGTCCTTGAACTTTGACATGCCCTCTCCTCAGCTCTTTGATGGTGATGTGCAACTTAGGGAGTCTGGTTCACCATCCCCATGCATGTGTCATTCACATCAATCCATACGGAATCGGCCACAAGTTCAGGGTCCTGGCCAGTTGCTCTGGGCAGTAAATAAAAGGCCAGGATGCGGAAGGAGGGCAGCATCTTTGAAGTCACATCAATGCTAGCTGACATGAGAGCATTCTGAAGACTTTTTGGCTGACGTTTGGCGTACACGATCTGGCCCTTACTCAGGACCTTGGAGACAAGGGAGGCCAAGGATGAGAAGGGCAGGGCCAGCTCATAAGGGAGACCCACAGTCCCTTTGTTTCAGCCTCTTGGCCTGAGCCCGCCCCAGATGGTTCCTACCTTCACACCACTTGTCACAGTTCCTCCAACCCAGCTAGCCAAGAGTGTTCCAGGGAAAGAATTCCTTGACTCAGGTCCCAGTCCTAGCCCCTGACCAGGATGGTGAAGTGAGTGATCTTATCCTTGGTTGTCGAGTCCCGATGGTTTGTGTTGAGGCTCAGCTGCAAGTTGCTGCCAACTTCTGTGCCCAATGTCTTCACCTTGATGTGCAGGAAGTTCCCTGACCTGTCCTGAGTTGAGTAGGGCCAAGCTGTCATGGTGGCTGAAGCCTTTTCCCCGGACTGGAGAGACTCATCTGTCTCCACCTGGAGAGAGCAATGGGCAATTAACTCCCAACCCTCCCAGTTCACGCAATCCCGCCATCTCTGCCCTGTCAGGTCGGTACCACGATAGGCAGCTTGTCCAGATCTCCACGTGTGTTGATGACCGAGTGGCCTCCCCATTGGACGAAGTGTACACTTTGTGTTCTTGGCAGCAGACGAGGACTTTGGAGGCTGGAGACCCATCAGGATTTGAGACCAAAACCTAGGGTGGAATCTAGCATGAGACAAAGGACAGGTGCGGGGGTGGCCTGGCATGAGAAGTGGGGACTGAAAGTGTAGTCTGGATAGGACGGCTTGCATAGCTGTGCAAGTTGCTCACTGAACAACACCAGGGACACCATTCATATTAGAGTCTTTATGATGCACAACCCTATGACCCTATGTGGAGGCTCTGGGTGTTGGCGTGGCAGTGGGGTTAGGGGGAATTGGAGGTGGAGGGGGTAGGAGGAGATGTGGAGGGCTTGAGGTAAACTTGAGTGCAATTGACACCAAAGGATGTTTCTAGTTTTCCTAATGGCCACCAGACATCTCAGAGTTACCCCAAATGATTGCACGTAAAAACGGCAAGCCTGCTGTGCAAATGCAGCCTCAAAATGAACCCCTAAGCCCCCCCATAGAGAAATTCTGGGGCCATCAGCCTACTTCAGGGGACCTGGGTCGGGACCTGAGGGGCGCTTGGGCTTGGTGTGGGGCTTATGATGGATTCAGTCCTCAGACAGATGAATTGTGGGGGGCAAGTGAGTCCAGTGTGGGTTTTTGTCTCCCTGGGGGAGGCATCTTTTGGGGGAGGGAGCCCTGAGTCTCTGGGTGGCGTGAACTTAGTCTCTGACCCTGAAGTGGAAGGACATTCCCGGCTTGAAATACTGTGGTGTCCTGATGAACTTGATGCTGTATGGGATCTGGGCGATCTTCACCCCGGAAATCTCGGCCTGGACCATCTCACCCCATGGAGAGACAAGGGGATTGTGAGACCTACGGAGGAAGTTCAGTCTCTTGGGGGGGTGGCGAGACTGCTGGTATGGGAGACCCATCTTGGTGAAGGCAGGGAAAGAGAGCAACACAACTCCAGCTCCTCCCAGGCTTTCTGGTATTTTCCCATGTCTCTGATGAGGAAACTGAGGCTGGGAGGTGGCCTGAGGTCTCAGAGTGTCTGGGCTGGGAAAGAACAGATTGTCATGACCTCAGCCAGGGGCCTGAGTGAGGGTGGTACCTGAAGAGAACACAGTGACATTGACAAAGATTGAGATCTCCTTGAAGTCCTTTTCTGGGCCTTGGCATGCATCCATCAGCATGTTCCTCTGGAGGGAGACGTGGCCCTGGCCTTCTGAGATCTGCTCTCAGGGCAGGAGAGAGGAAGAGCTTTCTTGGGGAGTGGAAGAGGGTAGGGGAGGGGAGGCAGTGGGGGGAGGTGGTGGAGGGAAGATGAGGGAGAGGAGATGGGAGGCGGGGGAGGGGTCAGAACTCAGTCACCTCCACCCTCTGCAGTGAACTTTGGATGGGGATCCGGCAGGAATCCTGCTTTATCCCAAAGATGGCCAGAGCGTATCCATCCACTAGCTCGTTGAATGTATACCTGGGGGATGGAGTGCCACCCGACTGGCTCTCACGCACCCACAGAACCTCATGTGGCTGCAGAGATGGCCTGTCTGATTTCACGGGACTGCAGCAATGGTGGCAAAATGTTGAGAGGGGTGGAAGTGGCCCCTGGAAGCTTAGATGGCTTCATTGCTGACCCACACAACCCTGGGAGGTGACAAATATGTCCCTTAAAGCATTTTTGGGTTGCAGATGTGGCCTGTGCAATCTCATAAGATGGTATAGGTAGCCTGTACAGCCTTATCAGGCAGACTCGGTGGTCTGTAAAGCACAACAGGGCTGTAGGAATGGTCTGTATAATGTCAAGAAGTGGCAGACACAGCCCTTACAACCTTATGCAGACTACATGGCCTGTACAACCTCACAGAGCTGTAGAGATGGTCTATAAATCCCATAAAGCAGCAAATGTAGCATTTGCAATTTCGTAGAACTGCAGAGATGGTCTGGGCAACCTCACAAGACAGCAAAGGTGCCTGTGCAACCTCGTGGACCTTCAGAGATGGTCCAAACCATGAGATGTGGTACAACTCCATTAGGTAGATGAAATGGCCTGTCCAAACCCAGAGGCCTGAAGGGATGGTCTGCACAACCTCACAGGTGGCAGAAGTGGTCTTCACAACCTCATAGGACAATATAGGTGGCCAAGAGTGTCTCCTGGGTGGCAGAGATCCCCCCTACCATACCCTAAGGGCTACAGAAGTGGTCCACTTCTCTCTACTCATTCAGTTTCTTGGCGTGCCTCGTCCTCTGGCCAGGCTGGGCCAAAGGGGACTCACCAGGCCCGGATGTCCACGCCCAGAGCCTCATCATTGAGGCTGAAGAAAGTCTTGTTTGGCTTCAGCTGGACCTCGAAGGACGGGAGCACTGGGTGGAGGAAAGGTAGTGGACACCCTCAGCATTTTACTGTCCCCCTTGTCCCCTCCCTGCCCTGCTCCTTCCTCGGTGACTCTGGCAACACCCAAGGGCTGGAAGATGTGGTCCTGTTCACCAGCACCCAGCTCAGGCCCCGGCACACAGTAGGTACACCATGAGACCAGCCCTGCTCCTTGCGTATCCCACCTGGCCCTCCCCACCACACCCTGCTCACCATATTCCTTCACGTCAAAGGCTGCCTTGAACTTCTGCCTGGCCGCACTCTGGTAACTGGCTTCGATGCTCCAGGTCCCAAGGCTGAGGCACAGAGAGTTAGGAGGGACGGAGACTGAGAAGAAGAGCCTCCATCCTCCCAGCCCTGGGGCTCCCGGGGGGGCGGGGCACCTGATGAGCTCTGGGAGGCGGAAGGAGCTCACGAGGAAACCTCTGTTGGCCTGCAGATCCTGGCTCATCACAGTGATCCCGTCTGGGTTCTGTGGGGACAACGGGTGGGTGGCTCATGTCCCCAGGCCTTCAGCCTATGATATCACCCCAGTGTCCAGGATCCACCTTCCTATCAGGAGAGGCCACCTTGATGTCCAGAGTGAATGTCCTGGTCACGGGATCCATCCTGTGGTTCACGGCAAACACCCGGTATTGAACTGGAGGAGGAGGAAAGACCCTGAACGTGGGAGAGAGTTTGGAGAGGGGGGGGTGTAGTCATTAAGATCTCAGGAAGTGGGGGGATGTTAGACAGAAGGAGACCTTGGGGGTTGGGACATGTTGGGTACTGGGCGGGGGAGACCAGGGACGAGAGTCAGCGCCTGCCCTGGGTCAAGTCCTGGGGGCTGTACCCAAGTGCTCAGGCGTGTAGATGGTCTTGTCTGTCTGGATAAAGATATAGCCAGCGTGGGGAGCCACGAGCACTGGCTTCTCCACGAAGGAGGACGACGAGATGGGTGCCCACGTTGCCCGGATGATGACATACTGCTTCCCCTGTTGTGGGGGGTATACCAGGCTCTCGGGAATCTGGGGAGAGATGCCCGCACTCCTCAGGCCCTGCTGGAGTCTCGAACCCTGGGGCCCAAGCTCTGGGCCAGATCTTGGAGAAGCAATTGAATGGGGGCCTTCTGGCTCTGCCTTTGGGAGCAAGACGGCCACGTCCAAAGGTATCCAGCCAGGAGGGCTGCAATCCCGTCCATGATTGGCTTCCCAAGCCACCAGCAGAGGGCGCCTTTTGTTAATGCACCCAGAGGCATCCAATGAGCTGATCATGGCCGTTCTTGGAACCCTGTCTTACCCGAATTTGGATTTAAGCCGGCAGGACATAAGAGGAGCAGTAAGCCTATCCAGGCCCTGTGTCTACTCTCCAGTGTCCTTCGTGGGAAGTCCCTCGAGAGACTGCCCCTCACCACCCTTGCTGCAGACCCAAAGCCTCCCTTTGCAGCCACCCATCATCCTGGCCCATCACCCACCGTCACCAGTGCCTGGACCATAAAGTTATTTTCCTGCAACAGCATGAGCTGGCTAGTAGCCACCACCGTCCTCTTCATGGGAAAGTCCCACACCATGAGGTTCACCTCCAGGGGACCGGTGAGGGGCTGCCCACAGTCGGAGTGAGCTTGCACGTGGATGTTCTCGGGGCTGCCGACCCATAGCACTCGGGGGGTCACCAGGATGTACCTGCCAGCAGACAAACAGGAGCACGGAGGGACTCAAGGTGGGGAAGCCACGGCGGAGACAGACGGGGTCGCACACAGGGACTCACGCAGACGGCAGATGTGCAGGCAGCTGGCAGAGTCCCCTCAGGCCTCCAGACTCACAGCGGCTCAGCATGGGTGAGGGGGGTCCCCAAGAGGACTAGAAGCAGCCCCAGGGGCCAGGGCACGTCCATGGCAGTGGGAGGATGACGTGGGGCCCCAGGTCACAGGTGCCTGTCCTCTTGTCTGCCCAGCTCTGGTCTGTTTGTTTGGCCTATCCCAGCTGAGTTAATATCTAAATGGACCGGGGCAGGGGGCGGAATCCCCATAAATTCAATGAGGGGAAAGGGAGCTGCTCCTCCCTTCTCAGCCAAGCTTCCACTGGGGGCTGTGGACAGCGGCACTGAGCAGTGTTCCAGCCGCCTCCCACCTTGGGAGCCACAGTGGCAGGGGGGGTGTCCTTCCCGTGAGCCACGGGGTCTCATCCTGAAGCCCTCCCCTCCCCCAGCAAGGAGCCTGGGCCATGTGGATGGCGCACTGGACTCAGGGCTTGGTTGAGATTGGCTGGAGGGAGCAGATAGGGTTGTCCCCACCTCCACTCTTGTGAAATTGGCCAGAGTTCCTGGGGCGGCTCCTGCAGTGGGAGAGGATAGGTGTATGTTTTCATTTCCTAATCACAGGCACAAACAGCCAGTTGTCATTCAGCCGTCTGGCCCCAGCGCCCCCCATAACAGAACCCTCTGGGAAATGCACGGGTCAATCTCTCTCGCTAGAATCAGATCCTTCTGCACCCAGGGCGCGCCGCCTGGTTTTTCTCCTTCCTCGCGGGAGACAATTACTCTTGGTAAATTGTGACCATTGTCCATTGTTTCTAAAACTTATGCCCGTCTCGCCGGGCTCCTTTTTCCAGAAGGCAAATTATACATATGAAACCAGGAATGAAAACACATCACACTTCAAGCATTCCTGGAAGAAGGGCTTTCTCTGTCCTGAAACAATTCTCGCTGGCTGTTTATGATGCCTGAGAAAATGTTGACCTCGCTTTGTGATTCTGCCTCTCAGAAGTGTGGGGTTGCAGACAAGTCTGTCTGGTTCTTCCATCTTCAGTGAAGTCAAGAGTGCCAGCTTGGCGAGTCTTGCTTGTTGGCAGGCCCCCGACCCCCGAAAATAATGATAATGTATGTTTATCCAACCAAGATCCATTAAGTATTTACTAGGAGCCCAGCCCTACTTAGGATGCTGGAGACACAGCACAGACAAAGGCCCTGCTTCTGTCGTGTGGACATTGACCAAGAACTCACTAAAGGCCCGAGGAGTACTTTCTCCTCCAACCTCACAGCCTCCTGTGAATTGGGTCCAACGCATGCCTGCTTTCCGGACTGTCTTTGTTGAGAGCTGGAAAACCAAGTGTGTCAGAAACAAGTGAGGCAGGTGGAAGCTCCTGTGTGCCAGACACTGTTCTAGGTGCTCTGTGCACACTCACAGGAGTCTCACAGCCATCCTGCAGTAAGAATTGCCACCCGTTGTACAGAAGGGGAAACTGAGGCCCCGGGATGTGGAGCAACTTCTCCCCGTGTCAGTGACGTGAGCCCTGAGGATGGGTAATGCTCTTAAGTCTACGGTAAACAATCTCTTATGAAGCAAAAAATCCACTGCATCAAATGAAGGCCTGGATCAGGGAAGCAGGTGAGACCCAATTTGGAAGGTTCTAGAACATTGGTGTCCATGTAGGGCCGCATGTTCCACCGCTGTCCCAGGCTCTCAGGGACTCTCCACCAATTCTGTTCGGCTCTCCCTTGGCTGGGGTGAGCTCTCCCCTTCACATCTTCGTCCCCACACCAGGCGTCCACACCTCCCACTCTGTTCCAGGGGGCCCCAGGTGTCCAGGACAGGGGGTTCTGCAAAGGTGAGGGGCGGCAGCTGCTCTATTCTCAGACCCTCCCGCCT